AGGCCCAGCAGGGGAAACGATGCTGAGGGGAAACCAGCATGGGTTTGTCACATGTAGATCCTGCCTGACAAACCTTGTAGCCTTCTATGACCTGGTCACACATTACCTGGATGTGGGAGCCAAGGCTGATGTCATCTTCCTGGACTTTAGGAAGGCCTTTGATGCAGTTTCGTACCCTATCCTTGTTGGGAAGCTAGCAGACTGTGGAGTGGATGCCTACACAGCCAGGTGGGTGGCCAATTGGCTTAGGGACCGCACCCAGAGAGTGGTGGTGGGCAGTTCCTTCTTGGCCTGGAGGGAGGTGGGCAGTGGGGTCCCGCAGGGTTCAGTCCTCGGAACAATATTATTTAATATCTTCAACAGCGATTGGACAAGGGCATGGAGAGCACCCTCTCCAACTTTGCTGATGCTACCAAGTTATAGGGCAAAGTTAGTACAGTGGAGGCCAGGGAGCAGATTCAGACTGACCTGGACAGGTTGGATCAATGGGCAGAGAGAAATAGGATGCAATTTAATAAAGATAAATGTAAGGTACTCCACCAGGGAAGGAGGAACCCCCAGCACACCTATAGGTTTGGGAGTGTCCTTCTCAGCAGCTCGGAGGCAGAGAGGGATCTTGGAGTCATAATTGATCTAAGATGAACATAAGCCAGCAGTGTAACGAGGCCATCAACAAGGCCAATCGCACCTTGTCGTGCATTAGCAGGTGCATGACTAATAGATCAAAGGAGGTGATGCTCCCCCTCTATGCAGCACTGGTCAGGCCACAGTTGGAGTACTGTGTCCAGTTTTGGGTGCCGCACTTCAAGAGGGATGCAGGGAATCTCGAGAGAGTCCAGAGGAGGGCCACTCGCATGATTGGTGGCCTTCATGATAGACCCTACAGGGGGAGGTTGAGAGAGATGAATCTCTTCAGCCTTCACAAGAGACGGCTGAGGGGAGATCTTGTGGCCGCCTATAAACTTATTAGGGGAGGTCAACGGAGAATAGGGGAAGTGCTGTTTAGTAAGGTGCCCCAGGGAGTGACTAGGAATAATGGGTGTAAACTAGTTGAGAGGGAATTTAGGTTAGATATTAGGAAGAAATTTTTCACAGTAAGGGTGGCCAGGATCTGGAATGGGCTTCCAGGAGAGGTGGTGCTATCACCTAGCTTGGAGGTCTTCAAGAGGAGGCTAGATAGTCACCTGGCTGGGGTCATTTGACCTCGGTCCTCTTTCCTGCCAGGGGCAGGGGGTTGGACACGATGATCCATTGTGGTCTCTTCCGACTCTACAATCTATGAATCTATGACAGAATCCCAATAAGGCAATGTTCTGGCTCAGCACAAAGCTATACACTGAATTCTCCTATGGAAATGTTTAGTGTAGTATATACCTACAAGTGGAGCTCCCTGGAGCACATAATATTATGCCCAGGAATTGCTGTTATGTCACATAGTTTAGATTTTTTGCTCTCTACAAAACCCTTTTAAAAGTCAAAATGTTAAGGGGAGTACCCATTGAGACCTTGCTCAACAAGGCATATAATCCGTTAAACACAAGTATGTAGTCTGTTTGTGTGAAGAGGAAAACTGTTTATACTAATATAGTTAATATTGTTAAACACTGTGGCAGTTGCCTTTATTTTACCCTGGCCTGGCACATAGCTGCCTTCCTGCAGCTGGTTCGGCATGCTGTTGTTGTGGCACATAATTGGTTGACTAGTCCTTTTTCTCCCCAGCTCTGTAAGCACAAGGTGAGATCAGACCCTATGTGCTGCTACCTCCAGTACTCTGAGAACATAAGAAGGCATTAAAGCACAAAATGCCCAGGTTTCCCAGAATGCATTATTGTCAACATGATTCAAGGGGACACTAGGTGAGGGTACATTAACTCACTTGGCACATGAGAGTGTTGCACAAGAAGCTCACATATGCCACTCGGTTGTATTTGTTGCAACCAAGAAAGATGAGAATGTCAGAATGGTTAAACAGACATGGTTACACTTAAATGAGCATAAAGTGGCAGCTTGCCAAATTGATTTTACAGAGGCTCTTGGGTTTACTGTTTAGGAAGAGAAATAAGAACAACTAAGGAAATTCCCATCAAGCCTGAGGGCAACAAGCTGAGGCCTGGACCCAGAACCCGATCAATGGGAATGTGGGAAAGCACTAATCACATAGTAAATACTAGAGCAGCTGCAATTGTTCTGGCTGCTGCCCCTGGGCAGTCAACCCTTGGGGGAAGCTCTGTGGGAAGTGGTTAAGGACACAGCACAAAGAGCCGGGGGCAGCTTTGGCCAATTAGGCAAAAGTCAGAAGCGCATCAAAAGCAAGGGATGAGCTGACAAGGGATTAGCAAAAACAAGGAGCATAAACATAAGGCAGGGGAAAAGAAAAAGAAAAGTAAAGACAGATGCTAGGGACCACTGAAAAAAAAAAAAAAAGAGAGAGTCTAGGACTGAGAAAGGTACTTGAATTCTGGGGGGAGGCCAAAATGAAGGCTGATTCTCCTTGTTCTTTGTAAAAGGGTTGATACTTTTCATACAAAGCAGTGATCCGAAACAACCTTCCACTTAGGGTCAATAAAACTAGTTCCAGTGTCCAAGGCTGGGATAATGTACTGTTCAGCAGTTAAAAATTGTCTTTGCCCTAATTACAGATTAAAGTTTCTCTTGCTGGAAGCTATCATAAACCAAACCTTTTGTTTAAAAAGTTCTCCAAAAAGTGTTATATGTAGACAAATAGGGAGCTTAGAGGGTTTCCCCCCACCTCTAAATTTATCAAAGGCTTGTTGATAAAATGGAAGCAAAACAATGTCAATAGAGCCAATTCTAGGTGCAATGAAAAGAAGCTAAATCCTTTACGCAGAAGATGGTGATTTCTGACAAATTGCATTGAAAACATCCCAAATTAGGTGTGGAGATTTCCTGAGAGTCTGGAGGAAAGAAAATTTCCAGGAGAAAGTAGTAGTTTCCCCTACAGCTGTGCAGATTTGTTTTGTCATTATGAGAGTTTGATTTTCAAAACCATTTCCTCCAACAGATCCTATTCTCCTCAACCAGTTCAGTCATGAGGCAGTAATAGTAACACAGGCAGCAGGCCCTTCCTCTTGTGCACTCATTTATTCTTGCTGATTGCACTTCAGGTCTAGTATTTGTGTCTGTGTCCTGATGAATCTTGACCCTCCACACCCCAATCTGATCAATGTGTATGGACTCCTGCCTGCATGGGGAGTCCCCACTGTGCTCAGCAGCACAGGGGCCCAGTCACACAGGCCAGATTGCTGTAGTGAGGTCAGTGATAGATTGAATGAATTGGATACAAGGATTCTAAGCAACTTCCTCCACTTAGTTTTTAACAAATCAGGTCATAATTTGAGTATCAGTGAAAGCTGCTTGGCTAGCTGATGTTTTGAGATTAGCGCAGCGATTCCCAATAGGGGTTCCACAGCACCCTGGGATGCTCACAGATCCTTATTCCCAGCCTTGTAATTTACAGACTGCAGCACATTTAGCAGGCTTGTGTGTTATCATTTTCCAATATGTAACTATTTAGTATGTGATGAAACCTTACAAGATTTAAAGGCAGCTCCCCAATTAAAGGCAAAATCTTGACTTTCTGGTCTCAGAATATGTAGCTTAAGCTCGGATTCTACTGCGAGCACTCCATGGCAGCAGAGAACCCCATCTTGCAATGCAATTGGATGGTTCAAGGCAAGAACAATTTAAATGGTGCAAGTAACAGCCCCTTCAGAACAAAAGGAAGTACCTTATAAATGGAATGTACTTTACTACTAGGTACTTCATTATGAGAGGCACTTTTTTTTTTTTTTTTTTAAAAGGAAGTTACTTCTCTCAAACTTGAAATGCAAAACTCTAGAACTCATGGTTCAGAGATGATACCTTTTATTAGGCCAACTAAGAAATTGCAAAAAAAAGAAATTTTCTGCAGGTTTTTGGGCACACGCCCTTCTCTCAAACTTAGCTTTTATCTCGGACATCATTCTCTCCCCCCACACTCAATGTTAGCAGCAATTACAATGAAGGGGAGGATATGTACCCTTACCTCTGTCACGATGGATGTTCCTGGGGAATCATAAACCCAGCCATCTTTGCAGAGCGTGAGGGGAACCCTGCTCTGGCTGGTGAAGTTTTCTAATGGGTTACTGCAGCTGATGCCAGTTGTGTTCCAGTCCACATCAAATCTCCTGCAACGACTAGTGGACGACTCCCCTTGGATGCCCCACTGGGGCACAGTATAATTCAGTTCCTCTTCCAAATTCCAGCCACACCTGCTGCTCAGCTCCACCACACCAGGGCTGAGACAGCGGTGTTCAGGGGTGAAGCCCAGGAAAAAGACACCCACGTAAATAGGCGTGAAGGCAGCCGAAAGCAAGCATAAAATGAAAAAAGCTCGTTTCTGAAATAAGTCAAATTCTCCAATGTGCTCTAAAATGTCATCGAAGGTTGGCATCTTTACATGTGGCAATTTATTGTGAATTAAACTCACCTAGTTGCTCTTCCCAACAATGCTATATAATGTTGTCATCAGCAAAGGCACTTTAGTAACAGCAGAGTATTTGATCAAAAGTCAGTGTCTCTTTATAAATTATTAAACCCTATGTTGCAAGTTTCTAGTGAAGATTCATTTGAAATCACGCCTGGATTCACCAATGAACTACAGAGAACTACTACTGTCCCCCCAGCCCCAGCTAACCAAGAATGGGTTCCTGCTCTTGGGGAGGACATGAAAAAAGACTGAACTATCAACAAATATTTGTCAGGGCTGAAAGGTGTCTGTCATCAATCAACCAGATCATAACCTAACTTGGAGACAACCTCCCCCATTATGTGCCTTCTACCTGAATTTTAGGTTTGATACTCAGTATTCACAAGTTTAGTTATAAGCAGATGTGAGAGATCGAAGTGGTTGGGTTGTTTGTTTGGGGGTTTTTTTGAGGGGGGGGGGTGTCTTTAATCCAGCAAAGGACATTCTTGAAGTGCGCAAGGTGTTTAAATGCCTTACACAATACAGGGACACTTCCCTAGGAAAAACCTCGCACCTATGCAGTGGGAAAGAAGCACTTCCCAAAACTGACCTTTTTCTTGCATCAAAATCTAGCATACATTTCTCTCCCTCCAGTAACAACGCTAGCCACCTAAATACTCTCACATGAAGCAGACTCAACTGACTATTCAGCTGTTCAGTCACTGCAGCTAAACACACTGCTCCAGATATGAACCAGAGTTAAATCTTTCCTGAATGTGGGGGGGAGGAAAAGAAAAAGCTAACATTGTGATGCTGTTAGACTTGCATTTAAGGAACCCATGTGCTGCAGCATTTTGAAATCGCTACAAATTAGTGCTATGAGGGGTGCACAGACATTCAGAGACTACAACCGGGAAGCTACAAAAGTCTCTGTAGAGGTTTGCTCTCCAGCCAGGGGAGCATAGAGGGTTGTTCCTTCGCCTGTCCCATCTCCCAGGGGTGGGGAGGCTGGCAGCGAGCTTGATCACCGACAGCTTGACCTCTCCTCCACTAGGTAAGAGACTGGGCAGGCCATCAGGGATTAGCAGCAGCTGCCAACATAGCAGCAGCAATGGTGCCAGATGTTCCCCACAGGCAAGTCTGGTCTCAGTCCTGCACCCTGTGATAGCTGGTCTGGGAGCAGTGGGCTGTCACTGAGGCCACTGTAGCTGCTCTCCCTCCCTCCTCTCTTGGAAGGAAGAGCAGAATGCTGCAGAGAGCGAGACGTAAGGTCAGGCATTACACATGACACTACAAAAAAAAAAATGTAGTGCTACAGAGTTCCTGTTCATTACAGGAACTGGATGAAGAGTTTGCACTATTTATGTAGCACTACAGGCAGAGGATACATCTGAACACCCACTTGTAGCATTATGAGGTTTATGTTGCACTACAAATCTACATCTGAACATGGCCTATAACTAATACAGTGCAGGGGAGAAAACTTTCACATATTTCTTGGTAGGATTAAAAAAAGGAAGTAAAAGCATTCCTTTGACATATGAAGCACTGGACTGCAGAGACATGCTAGAGAGAGGAATGTACCAGCAGGAGTAAAAAAAAAAATAAAAAAAAATAAGGAAACTGCCTGAACTGCCATTTGTTTTAATATCCCTTCGTCCCCCCATTTGTTCCTTACGTTCCTTACTCAGCACCAGGGAAGAAAATGGGGGGGGGGGGGGGGGGGGGGCAGTGGAGGAAAGAGTTGCTGCTCTAGTGATGCTGGCTAGATAATTACCTAGACTGAAAACAGAACATAGAACAAGGGCATAGAGCATTGGTTGGATGGGAGCCCTGTCATATGAAACTTGTTAGCATGTTATTCAAAATCCAGGCTATACCATATACCAATACAATCTTGCCACTATCATGCAGTTTTACTAAACTAAGCCAAAAAAGTTCTCACTGATGGAAAACCCTGTTTGAGATGTTCATGCAGACTTGCTCAGATAGGAAGAACCCCTTACTTAAAAAGAAAGATGATAAAAAAATTAAACAATGAAGCAACTGAAAAGTAAGTTTATGTTTTCTTCTAAATAAGCTTTAAATGTTCCCTTTAAAGGGAGCAAAGCACATGAACTTCTGAAGTTGGAGAACATGCTATTTATCGTAGCAGTAGCATACAACACCCATCACCTCAAAATGAGATTAATCTAATCTTGCACCCAAATTATCACAACCCAATCCAAGAAGGCTCCAGAGGACAGTAACAGAGTTTAATAATCTAGAACCAAATAAAACTGATTGCACATATTTTTGTCTTTATTATACATCTAGTGACAGATAAGGGAACTGAGAAAAGGGGTATAGTTCCTGTATGTAGATCACAGATGGATCAATCAGAAAGACCAAAACAGATATTTTGGGACTCAGGTAAATTTACAGAAAACGAGGGTTTGTTAAAGAACATTTGGAGACCATTTGTTCACCAGGCACTTCTGTTTTTTAAGTTTAAAAGCGGTCAATATTTGAGCAGAAGACTGAAGAAAAAAAAAAGAAAAATTACTTGATGACAACTATATGCCAATAACATTAACAGAAAAAAGGGGAATGGCAGACCAGTTTTAGGCCTAGTTAACATTGTACTCAATTCTGGCATCTTATAGCTACTTGAGAGTTTTGACTTTAAAAATGGGAAATTTTGAAGTAGATAGCACAATACAAATCAGCTCATTTCAGTGAACGAGCCACTCAAGCCGTGGCTCATGTATGCAGTTTTTACAGCTAAGTTTTATTTGTCCAGATGTTGCTGGACAGTTTCACTGCTACATTCTTAGAAAACAGTATTCAGAGTTGCCTGACTTCATTTTTAGCATGCAATCCTGTTTTGGGCAAGTGTAAATGAAGGGTGCCTGAAGGCAGTTTAATCAATTTAATGTGGGAGAGTGTACTAAACAGGCCTGTGCCGACAGACAAGACAGACCTAATTTTTAATTGTGGAATCTTGTTTCTGTGTCCAGGCTTACTCACCATACTACTTTGGAAAACCACTTTCTGGGACCATCTATAAAATGGGAACATACTAACTAATCTTATTCAAGCACTCAAAGATCTTCTGAAGAAGTGCTACAGCCTGTTCAAATACTAAAGACAAAAAGGAGGTTTCTCCATAGCAAAGCTAGATAGTAAGCTATTACCAATAAAACCAGGTTTCAGCACTTTAAAGGACTGTGTCAAAAACCCCTTCATTTATCATCCCAGCACAGCATTACAAATCAAGCATACCTTCCAGATTGGTGGCTTGACTCCTTCAAAAGAGTAGTATATCCTGACCTAGAGAACTAACTTAAAATTTCTCTTCATATGAGGACAGGGGTCCACTTTGGGGGTTGGGGTCACAAACATAGATAATAAACACTACTTTCTGGTCATGAAACAAAGATGGCCACACTGGAGTAGTTTAAAAGCAAATTTACAGGCAATTACCCTTCCTTTGCTCCTTTCCCCAGATGTTTTTGGTTCTGACGTTGTAAGAGATCAAAAGATAAGAATTCTTTAAGTCAGGAGCATCAAATGCACCCTGTGCTCTGGACCAGATCTGGACCACGGAGCTCCTTGTGCCCTGGGCTGGATCCAGCCCTCAAGGAAGCAGCAATGACAGCAGTAGCCAGCCAGGGCTGCCATTGCTGTATGCCCTGTACCACAATGGCAGCTCTAACTCTTTCTCCAGTACAAAGCAAAGTGGGGTCCGGCAGCTGGGGAGGTAGGGCCATGGCAGTGGCACCAGGCAAACCAGCTGGAGAGCAATGAAGGCCACAGCAGCCTTTGTGCACTCTCCTGCTGCTGATCGCCACGTTTGCTGGGGCCTGAAGCCTGCTACAGAATCCAGGCCCCATGCCCCCTAGCTTCCTGTGGCCCACCAGTAACCCAGGGCTGGACAGTGCCTCCAGGGCTGCCAAACAGTCTGTGCTTTAAGTGTTCTCTTAAAAGCCCCACAACTCCAGGTCTGGAACAGGAACGTTACTCCTGAACAGTTTTAAGACTGTCAACCCCCACCCCCCACAACCCAGTTTTTAATCTAGCAAAGAGAAGGAACTTTATGAACTGCATTAGGGATTTGTATGTGGAAAGTACCCAGACATCCACGTGATAGCAGGATAAAATACTTGGACAGAAGTGCTGAATCAGTGCCATAGGCAAGGCTCTGATTTACCTAACTGTACTCATAGTATTACTGAAGCAACACACAAGGCAGAAGCCTTAAAAAAAGTCACTGCATAGTCTGAAAATTGCAGACTGGGGGGAATGGGGGTGGGGCACAGTAACTTGTGAATTACATGTTTAAACCCAGTCATTTATATTACTATCAGGATTTACAGCTTGGTTTCTGAGTGCCTATTGATTTACACATCTTTATATGTGGTTGTTCAAGTTTGTCCACTTTAAATCTTGGATTAGTAGATTAAAAGCACGAGGGACCTTTGGGCCGATTTCTTGGCAGAACAAAGGTCACAGAACCTCGTCCAGCATTCATGCCTCAATGCCCACAACTTGTGGAGGGAACTGCAGCAACTCCTTTAGAGCAGTTCTCAAGCGTTGAGCTACATAGCTCTTTTAGCTTGTTAAACTGCTGTGTACCTCGAATAAAATTTGTATATTAAAACAGATGCTGCCACCACTTGAACTGTTGTACAGTTAGTTTCTTTCTCTTTATTTCTCCATTTATAAATAATTACCACTTTCCCATTTCTACTTTTTAAACAACCTTTTGCTGCCGGCCAGAATTTGCTCCCAGCTGTGTGCTACGGAAAAAAAATCCATCCTCAAAGAAGTCAAGCAGCTTTGCACTTACCCTCTCTGCAGATATGCAGCCCCTCTGCAGCAGGGGTAAGTTCAAGCATGCGACAGCAGCAGGGAGGACTGTGGAGAATGGTGCTGCAGAGGGGACAGGTGGCTTGGCACCCAAATTAAACAGGCATCCAGTCTTGAGGACCTCATCCTAACTTTGAAGATATGTACATATTTTTAAAACACCAGGGATAACTAACCAATGGCACCCCTTGTTTCCCGATTTTTCCTCCTAAGAATTAACTCTGTAACAACTTTAACCATCCAGAAGTGGTGAGGACAGAAACAGGGGGAAGCATTGCTCAAGTTCTAAGTGCCAATTTACTAACACTTACAGCTGGACTATAAAAAAGGCCAATGTTTTGTGGCTTTATTGGTTATGCAAACTGTAGAGAAAAAAGTTCTGAATCTGGAAAAAATATTTAATTAGGGGCTCACTTAAGTCTTCCATTTGTTACTGCAGCCAGAAACAGTAACCATTTCCAAGAAAGTTTGGAACTTTGTGCAAGTTTTGACGCCTAGTATAAAAAAAAAAGAATGTTTTAGCACCTATTTTAATGCCTATAGGAATAAGTTTGGAATGGACATTTAATAATTTAATCTTTTATTGAAATTACTGAGTGTTCTTCTATTACACTAAATTTGATTCCAAATGGATAACCTTAGAAAAGAACCAATCAATGTGGTAACCAAACAGACCAACCAAAAAGAGGAACAAATATTTTCAGATATTGACCAACATGTACCTTATGCAAATGAAACCATCTCACTGCCCAAAAAAGTAATCCAACACACTTGAGGAGCAGACTCGTATAGGGAGATGGATTTTTTCCTCTGTTCAGTACCAGCAACATTTTAAATTCAATGAGTAGGGCCTTAGTCTATGCTCTAAAGTTGGATCTAATGCTACAGAAATGGCCGTTCTTCATGCAATTAGTACCAAAGAGATGCATATTGTGCAAATTAAGGCTTCTCTATTTCTTGGGCATTTTGCTTAAGACAGAAGAAATTACAGGGTGGCAAAGATGGTCTTCCAGGAATCCTGAATTCACTACCTTGAATGATCAGGTTACAGCTGGACAGGCACAACCCTGCCCAAACACTGTCAAGGGACATCTTTGGGTGTTTGTCAGCAAATACTGATAAAATAAGTCATGTAACCAATACCAAAATATCATGCAAAGCACAGCTACCATTTCAGGCGACCTCTGTACAGAGTTGTACCTTTCAAGTAAAACACCTTTAAAGTCAATAATCTGTTTAAAGTTAGAATGGAGTATTCAAATTTACAGGATAAGTTAGATCAGTTCCAAAATTTACAAACCATCCCTAATAGACACAAAAATTACACTTTTTTCATGATGGGTGAATCTGTAAGATTAATACCCTGCCGGCAGGAAGAACATGTTGCTATGATTCAGCAAACCTGAGTAGTGAGGGTCAATAAATACAAGGAGAGAGTTAAAATACTAGTCAAATAACTTGAATCTCAAGAGTCAGGGACTTCATTCAGATTTAATCCCATCCTTTGAAAGGATTTTTTTAAACAAGCATCTACTGCCTATGGTGAGGATTTTAAAAGAGAAAATCCTGGCTAGAGAAGAAAAGGAGAATCAATATAACTCAGTCAACTGGATGCTGGATATCCAGTCATTACTGAACAGACCATTGTAAACAACCAGGACTAGTCTTTTTGTCCTTCCCTTTTAAATATTTTCTTGTTAAAGGCAAAAGTCAGAGTAGTCTCTCTCTCTCAAGCTGAAGTCTTCATATTTGGTTGGAAGTGTTTTATTGTCCCGCTATATATAATCTCTCTATATATTTAATTAGGCACAAGAGGGGTTATTTTAAACATTCAACAAGTCCTCATCACTATCATCATGGAACGATACTGAATTCAGAGAGTCCTGCGTCTGATGACTTGGCAACTTGGCTGCTGTTTTGCTTTCCTTCCCTCCATTCAGCAAGCTGGCCTTGTCATCCCTTCCATGGCTAGGTGGCTTCTTCTGCTGGTGCCTGTTCTTGTCCGAGCCTCTGGACTGTGGCCCTCTCACCGAATGAACCTTTACATCTGGAATGGTTAGAACTTCATCCTCACTGTCCATGTCATCCACATGGAGAGAGGTAAAGGCTTCCGATGTAACGGATTTGGTGATATGCCCATTCTCTTGTCCTCCTTTTCCTGGTTTCTGATTTGGCGCAGCAATTTCCTCCATAAGCCACTCTGTTTCATTCTCATTAGCTTCTTCTTCACTGTTTACCTATAGTAAAGGAGATGGCAAAAAGGCAGTGAGTAGCCTAGTTCAGATTCTCAGCCACCCTTGGGACCACCTAAGTCCATCGCTTGGCATATCATTCACCTTATCCTGCACATCAAAGCTATTCACTGCAAGAAAGATTGACACAGCAAAAACCTCCACATTCCTCCAGTACATCAGGAATCAACTTCTGCACTACTTCTGACCTGTAACATTCTTCCTTTGCTAGCTCTGTGCTTCTCAGTTTGCCCCCTATTGAGTGCTGTTCAGCATCTCCCTTAGTCCTTCATCTGCTTTCTTCCCTTGCTTGCTGGGATCAGCCACTTGCCCTGTTTCCTCTCATACTCAGTCTGTGGAAGCCAGGAAGCTCTCCTGCCATGCGAACTTTTAGTTTACACTGACTTTAGAAAATGTGGCAGGAATCTTACGTAGGTGTTCCTAGTTTATAGAGACATTTAACAGAACAAAACCTTAGTTGGCACTATAGTTAGTATGATTACCTTTGTATATTTATAGGAAACACTTGATGTTCTTCTGCAGCAGTTGGTTATCTTGTGCATCACAGTTTCTCTAAAACAGAATGGAGAGTTAGCGGGAAATGATAATACCTTTATTTACTCTTCTGGACCAGATACTGCTGATCCCCAGCCTGAAACCTTGACTTTCACTGTTTTTTGCCATTGTGGGTCCCTACCCTGCCAAAATGCAAGTGCTTTGGGATAAAAAAAATTCTGACTCAAGACTATTTTAACTGGAAATATGATAGTTTTGTCAAACTTCCCCTTATCATACCATCATAAATTCAAGAGTACTTGAGTGCTATTCTGCTTTCCTACATCGGTAATAGTATTTGCCGTGAGAGAGCAAGTTACTTTTGTTTGGCACTGCTGTAGTCATGTAAATCATAATGGCACTACATTTTTAATTTTTTTTGCTTATCTACAGAGTCAAATTGAACCATGAGAAAACTTACACATTTGAACACACAAACTTCAAGTCACTTGAGAAAGTTTTGTTTTTTTTTTTTAACCCTTAATCCTGTCTCAGTTATTTTTCTTAGTAACTGTAGGAGTCTTGTTAAGCCAAAAGGAAGAGACTGGCCAGTCCATGCTTCTCTGTGGTCTTACACAGCAACAAGGAAGAGAAAATATTTAAAGCAGAAAACAGCAGTCAAAGTTACAAAAATGGTAGCTGGAATAGGAGTTGTGGCACCTGCGATTCTTATCTTTAAAACTGTCTTTAAAATTCACAGTATCCCCTTTACTGAAGTAACCATAAATACAAGGGAAAAGAAAGTCCCTTCCTCCTCCTCTTACCTCCTTTCTTTTTTGTAAAACAAGAGAATCAACAGGCACACGGTGAGAACCACCAGGAGGACACTAAGCACAGCGCCAACTGCTTGACTTCTTCCTGAAAGGCCTTTATGAATTTGTGCTTCCTGGTCAATCTGACCCTCATTGCTTTCTGGAACCTCAGACATTCTGTAACAACACAGGAAACTGGGTTAAGATTAAAAGACACCTCTGCCTGACTGGATGCAACAGTAAGGGAAGACCGATTAGAAGTATTGGGAAAAAGCCAGTCCTTGAGACATGTAAAGCCAGCTCCAGTCAGAATCTGCTCTCAAAACTGTTGCAAGGAATACAAGTGTTCCAAAACCTTTGTTCAAAGCACTATTTAATGGGCATGACCGTGGTGGGGATGACATAATAAAATTCATCTGCAACAAAGCCTTTGCTTTAAACAGACTGACACAATGGGCCCTATATTCAAGGCTGCAATAAGGAGAATCCAACACTTAATTCAAGCCATGAATGCAACTGACTTGGGTAAAAGATACCAGGCCAGATCACTTATGCAGAGTGCTTTGAGAGATGCTCAGTTATCTGTAGCCATATTCCATGGCTTACTAACCCCATTACAAAAGGGCACAGGGCTGCTGCTAAGATGTGTCAGTTAATTACTACTGAAGAGTAGTAACACCTACAGTTGCACTCAGCTGGTCCTGTACAGGACAGCCACCATTAAGCACCAGCCCAAAGTGACAAGTACCCCACAGTAGGGGTGTGCAAAATGGGCCGTATTTTGATTCAGACTGGCCCAAATATCGGGGACAGCGATTCGATTTGTTGATTCAGATGACTGTCCCGATTCGATTCGGCCGAATCCAAATCTGAAGATTTAATGCCAATTTGGACAATCAGCGATTCAGACAGACACAGCTTTAAATATTTTTTCTACATACCTCAAGGTACCAGGCGCAGCTCATGAATGCTGCAAAGGATGGAGCGTCTCACAGGGGCGGGAGGGGGGTGGGCGCCCCCATGTGCTTGATGACAAACCTGGAAGTGAACCGGAAGCACTTCCAGTCCACTTCTGGGTCCACCACCGAGTGTGCTGAGGGGCCCCCCTGCACCCCCTGGTTCAGCAATCAGCTGTGGGGGGACCCCAGGTGCCCCCCCAGACACAGGAGGCACCAGTCACCAAGCTGAGGCATGCCCCCCCCCGCCAAACGAGCTCCTTGGCAGACCCGGAAGAGGACCGGAAGTGCTTCTGGTCCACTTCCAGGACCCCCCCATGCTCCTGTTTGATGCTCCATGCTCCCCAGCATCATAACATTCACAAGCTGCCTGGTACCTTGAGGTATGTAGAAAAAACATTTAAAGGTGCGTCTATGTCTGAATTGCTGAATCTTTCCAAATCTCTCCGATTCGATTCAGAGAGATTAAGAAGTCCTCCGATTCAGTGCGGATTTGGAGATTTGGCCACTGAATCAGGCTGAAATCGACTCAGTGACTGAAGCTTCGCATAGCCCCACCCCACAGCCTCACTTGAATCTGAGAATTTCTGCTTTAGTAGATTTCTGTTTCCCAGCAATTTGGGCCTTAGAGAAAGGAAGCCTAAAAAAGGAAAAGATCCTGCAAGTCACTCATGTTCTTAAAATGAGTAACCAGGCACAGAATGGTCAAACTGAGGTTGTGGATGTGTATTACACTTGAAACCCTGCCAAAAAGGGGAACATTTCAAAAAGGGCAATGAGCTACCAAGTTCTGTAAACAAAAAAAACCAAAAAACAAAAAACACCCCCACCCAAAACCACTTCAACTTTAATACTGCTTTGTCCACAGTTAAAAGTTGAAATGGTGTCAAAGTTGGGGTTGAAGTAGTTTTACTGCATTTGAATTGTTCTCAGTTTTTTCTTCATACAAAAATCAGAGAGTGTACCAGCTGCTGCCTATTGGAAAGAGTTCCAAAATGTACACGTCAACACCGTGACATCCTGTAAGGTAACATTACATGTTTAAATAGTTGCATTACTAAGACAAGTCACTTTTATGTATTCCAGAAAAGAAGCTGAACTTAGTGCCAACAGATCTAGCTGCATAGTCCAAACATTCAGGCCCTATGTGAGCTGTTAAGATTTGGTGTACTGAGGCAGCTGTTAAAAAAATTAAGCCTATATGCTAGTAAGCTGTAGCAACTAACGCAATTATTTGCCTTTCAGCTACTTTTAATGTAGTACTAACTGCAATTTTTTAAAGTTGACCCCTTTTATTTTTACCCAGCATCGCATAAGGAAAGAACCTTTTCTGTATTTTCAGAATAGGAAAGCATGAACCAGAAACTGAATATGATCAAATAGAGTTTTCATACAGGAGAAAAAAATTTAAATGGCAGGAGAAAGCCATATTTCCTCACTCCATGGCTGCCAGCAGACTGGTAATATCAATAATATTAATGCAGCACCCAGAGCCAGGAAACCCATCTTCTCACTACCTTAGGATCCACCCACATATATGCATCTACTGGACTTTTGCCTTATGCTTAGGTTACAAGCTCTTTGAAGCAGGAACCATGTGCATACAATATTTCACGTATCTGGGCTTTCATGATTGAAAACCGTAGGCACCACTGCAATACCCAGAGCATTCTTCACTCTGGTATGCTAAGAAAAGGTGAGCAGATAGAAATGTTCAACGTATAAAGCAAGAAAGAAGCCTAATGAAGTTACTTCCAAATAAAAATCAAAAGTCGAGCACTTAGAGACAATTGTTTTAAGTTGCGCAGCAATAAATATTTGCTGGATAGAAACAAAAAAGCAGCTTTATTTTGGAGGAGAAAAAGTGTTTTATTTCTAGTGTCTTTTCAGGTTCAGTGAAAATAAAGTGAAAAACAACCTAAACCTGAAATTTTAGTATGACCGAATCCAGCTGCCCGGTAGTAGAGCTATATGCCTCCAAGCATTTAGCACTAGCCCCCTCATGCCCCCCACCCCCACCTGTGAGTTGCTGCTTACACTTGGATCCTTTCCTTTGGCCATACCCAATATAGATTCTGCTAAACACAAAATCTAACAAGCAAATGCCCACTAAAACCACATGCCACTTTAGGAGAAAGGAAAAGATTACTCACGCTAATGGACAGACTGCAGATGTGTACCATGTAAATAAGTACTGACAATCTGATGTCTCATGGAGGAATTCAGGGATGCCTTCCTTTGCCTGCAGATCACAGTGGAAGAAGATTGTTGAGGAGACAAACTTGGATCTATCTTTACCGCACTGCGAGTCAGACGAAAACACAATATCCAAGTCATTATCTGCAGAGAAGAAAAATGGAATATATTATAAAGAACAGTAAGAACAAATGGGAACAAGTGGAAAAAGATTAAGGGAAGTATCTTGTTTTACTAAAGTCCAATCTTCCCCTCCCCTCCCCAGCCCCACACCAGGAAATCAAAGCCATTTTTCCTTATTTTTTGATGTTCCTGCACCTGGATTTGCAAGTTTCAGCCCTCCCTCTTACAGGAATATTGGACAACTGTCATGAAACATGAATCATTTTTTTCATGAAGTTATTCACAAGAGGATTCAAGTGTGAAGTAATTCTAGCCAGCGAGGGCTTACCTTGAATATAGTATTTGGCTTTATTGGACGAGCCAACTCTTCTTTGGTAAGGGCTGTTAGTTTTAACTTGGCATATGTTTGCTCCAGAGCACTGTGGGTGCGCCGAGTCAGTTATAGAAGAAAGCTGAATTTCATACACGTATGCGTCACCATTTGTCCGTATATCCCCAGAAGCGGTGTATAATCTGAAAGGAAAAACCAAATTTAGCCACAAAGCTCAAAACTTATCGTACAATTAATCGTGCAAAATTAAGATTTCAAATGTCAGCAGCAACCCAATTTTAGTGGGTTTTCAAGCAATAGACTCAAATTGGAATGATTATGTCCTACAGTGAAGAACAACCAGAACAAGATTTTCATTCATGGAAATCTACAAAATTAGGTTCCTCCAATGAACTTCAGGCATTAAGTTTTAAATGGCCTGATTTTTCAGAGACAGCAAACACTTGTGGCTCTCATCTTTGACTTTTTGGGGTCGCAACACTTCTTAGAAAGCCAGACCACTATTTCTGAAGGTTTCACTGTAGCACTAGGCACTTAACTTTGGGGTGAAAAGGGCTGATGTGCAGGCTCAAGATCCTGCCCTGTGATCAGTCAATAGCTGCAGCAACATTTTGACACGGCAATGGAGCGCACTGATACTAATCCAGCAACTCCAAAAGTGGTGACAACCACTCAGGACCCCTTATTGCTGTTTTAAACTAGAACAAAACAATGCTTTAAGCTTTATCAAAGCTAGGGGTTCCCAATGCTCCTTCCCATTCAAAAACCAGTAACTCCTCCATCTCAGTTCTTCCTAAACCTGTTTTCTTTCCTTACTTAAGTGGGATTGGCAGGAAGATGACACACGGCAAAGCAGCCATGCAAACAGATCCACCGCTGCTTTCATTCACTTACTTATAGGTAAGCATGTGTTCTCTTTCAGGTTGGCTTATCTCCTCCGGCAAACTTTAAAATAGGTTCATCAGGGGAAGGGAAGGCCGAGTACGGAGGGAGCCACGGAACACAGAACCAAGAGACACCCACGAGACCGGCCCAGGTATGTAGCAAAGATCCTATTAGACACCAGCTTAAGGGGGGGCCAGGGACAGCCACCAGGGGAATTAGGTGTATATACACAAATGCCAGAAGCATAGGAAATAAGCAGGAGGATCTAGAGCTCTTGCTAGCGAGCAACAACTTTGACCTAGTGGGACTAACTGAAACCTGGTAGGACTCTTCTAATGACTGTGTGGTGGGAATAGAAGACTAGAGGTTGTATAGGAGAGATAGAGTAGGGAAAAAAGGTGGGGGAATTGCTCCCTATGTCAAAGAACAGGGCACATCTTCCCTAATCAAATTAGGGTCAGAGGGTGGTCAAGCAGAGATTCTGTGGGTTAGGATCCAAGGGGCTCAGGATGAAAGGGATCTGGTGGGGCGCAAGGGGGGGGGGGGTCTACTACAGGCCACCGCACCAGGACAAGCTAGACCAGGAATTTTCCAAGCAGCTCAAAGAGGCTGTGAGGTCTAGAGATATGGTAGTCATGGGGGACCTTAACTACCTAAACATGCTGGGAGGAGCAGTTAAGCTACATTTAACCACTCTTGCAGGTTTTTAACCTGTATTCAGTATCTCCACTTAACACAGGAGCTAAGGGTGTCTCAACAGAGGCAATGCCTTGCTTGACCTGGTGCTGGCCACAGGGGATGACCTCGTGGGGGACCTGTGGATTCAAGGCAACTTAGGGTACAGCGATCACCAAATGATTAAATTCACTATCCAGCAAAGGGCGGGCACTATACCCAGCAGAGCACAGATGCTGAACTTTAAAAAAGCCAACTTTAATAGACTCAGGGGATTGGTTAGCAGGGTGCTAGAAGCCAACAACGTGGATGCGTTGAGGGTCCAGGATGGGTGGACATTCCTCAAGGAAACTATTCTTTGGGCTCAGAGTGAGTCAATCCCATGGCAGAGGAAAGGGCAATGGGGCCAGGAAGCCCCTTTGGCTAACCAGGGGCATCCAAGGTATCTTAAGGGCAAAAGAAGAGCTGTACAGAAAACGGAAGTAGGGGGTGCCTAGCTAGCAAAGAGGAATATACCTCTTTGGCCCACACCTGCAGGGAGTCTGCAGGGACTGCAGGGAGTCAGTCAGGAAGGCCAAGGCAGCTCTAGAACTCAGGCTAGTGTCAGGGATTAAAGACAATAAAAAGTCCTTCTTTAGGTACGTTGGGAGCAAAAAGAGGGCGTGGGGTAGCATAGGACCCATACAGGATGGACAGGGGGGCTTAGTGATGGATAGCAGCGGCAAGGCAGAGCTCTTCAATGGTTTTTTTGCCTCCGTCTTCTTAAATGGGAATCTAGATGAACCCTCAACATACATCATGGACACCAACAAAGGGAACATCAGCCGACCAACAGTTAGTGCCAACTTAGTAAAAAGACACTTGGAGGGACTGGATGCATTCAAATCACCAGGGCTGGATGGACTCTACCCACAGGTAATGAAGGAATTAGTGGGGGTCATAGCTGATCCACTGGTAAGGATACAGGAGTGCTCACGATGCTCGGGTCACGTTCCGGAGGACTGGAAGAGGGCCAACATCGTCCCAATCTTTAAGGGGAGGAAGGAGGACCTGGGGAACTATAGACCAGTCAGCCTTACCTCTATCCCTGGGAAAATCCTTGAAAAAATTATCAAGGAGCACATCTGTGGGAGCCTGCTGGCTAATGTGATATGAAGGGGTAACCAACATGGGTTTTTAGCAGGCGGGTCCTGCCTGACTAACCTAGTTTCCTTTTACAACAAGGCCACCAAATGTTTAGATGCAAGAGTCAAAGTGGATATTATTTATCTGGACTCCAAGAAGGCCTTTGACAAGGTATCCCATACCATCCTTATAAATAAACTGAGGGGATCTGCCTTGGATGATTACATGGTAGACTGCGTAGCAAATTGGCTCAAGGGTCGCACTCAGAGGGTGATAGTGGATGGGTCAGTGTCAACCTGGAGAGATGTGGGCAATGGAGTCCTTCGGGGCTCAGTTCTGAGGCTGGTGCTGTTCAACATCTTCATCGTGATCTGGATGAGGGGGTGGGAAGCACCCTGTCCAAATTCGTGGATGACACAAAATTATGAGGTGCAGCTAAAACCCTAGAGAGGAGGAACCAGATCCAGGCTGACCTAGATGGGCTGGGGAAGTGGTCAGAGAGTAACAGGATGCAAATCAATAAGGACAAGTGCAAGGTGCTGCATCTAGGGAGGAAGAACTGCCATCATACCTATGGGCTGGGGGGCGACCTTCTCACCTTCACTGAGGCTGAAAAAGATCTTGGAGTCACTGTTGGCTCCAGGATGAACACGAGTCGCCAACGTGATAAAGCAGCTAGCAGAGCCAATTGCACCTTGTCGTGCATCCGTAGGTGCTTCACAAACAGGTGCAGGAAATTGATTCTCCCCCTCTATGTGGCACTGGTTAGACCGCAGCTGGAGTACTGTGTCAAGTTCTGGACACCACAGTTAAAGCGGGATGCGGACAACCTGGAGAGGGTCCAAAGAAGAGCCACTCGCCTGATTAGAGGCCTGCAGGGAAGGTCCTACAAGGAAAGGCTAAGGGACCTTAACCTCTTCATCTCTCCAAGAGGAGGCTGAAAGGGGACCTTGTGGCAGTGTACAAATTCATAAGGGGAGAGCAACATGAAGTAGGTGATGATCTGTTCACCAGGGCAGACCCTGGAACAGCAAGGAACAATGGCCATAAGCTACTAGAGAGAAGGTTTAGGCTGGACATTAGGAGAAAGTTCTTCGCTGTCAGGTTTGTCAGAATCTGGAATGGGGTCCCAAAGGAGGTGATGCTCGCCCCATCCTTGGGGGTCTTCAAGAGGAGACTGGACAGGCACCAGTGGGATCACATGACCCCCAGGGTTGGTGACTTTTCTTGCCTGCCAGGGGCAGGGGGTCGGACTAGATGGCCCACTGAGGTCCCTTCCAACTCTATGAATCTATATCACTCCTACTCCCTTCACTGTAGGCTGCTGGCCTTTGATTCTGAGAAGGAATGATTGTTTCCCATTGCTTTCTCAAAACACTCAGCATGGCTTAGCTTATTGCCAGGTTTTGTGCATTATAAACCTGTTCCAGTTTTATTATGCAACTTGTTGGAAAAAAGTAGCATACCAGAGTCAGACAAAGTCTCAAGAGGCAACATTCTTCCTTTGCTGGAATCAGTGACTTAAGCATTTCTCCATCCCTCTAGTGGTACAGAGCAAGGTCACGGGAGTTCATGCTCTGGATCCCCCACATTTAAAAAGCGTATAGATGCGAGTGTCCTCAACCATTTTAGGAGCTTCACACACTGTAGGACCCCGTTTTTACTTACTTGTAAAAAATATCACCCAAGCTGAAATTTTTTCCAGATGTAGGATTAATAACTGTCCCATTCACTATCTCCACCTCTTGTGGCTTCACAGCACAAGCTGCCCGCGTTTCCCATGTGATGTAGTAAGCACAGTTTTCTCCATCAATCCTGTCAAAAGACAAGCCATTTTAATGACATTCTCTTTTCAGTGTAGAAGCATAGCTGCTGCTGGCATAGCAGAAAGGAGAAAGCAAGATATCCCAGAGTTTCAACATAAGCCTGGAAGCCTACTGGATCAGTAAAAGCTATTGTTTTTTTTTCTCCTTAAAAAGCAAACAAACTGCTAATTTAAATCCAGATATTTTTATGCCAGCACTACTGAACTGCTTCATAAATTCAGTGGTTTCAAAAAAAAAGTTAGCTGAACCATTGATTTTACTTGCTTGAAACTCCAGAATTTATACTGCATTTGAGATTTAAAACAAAAAAACCCCAAACAAACAAAAGAAAAGCTACACACACAAAAACACTTAATAACCAAGTTATTTTGGAAGGTTAAATTTTGCCTTCTGTCCATGCTAGGACAAGAATACGGCCTGGTCAGATTTCCAGCTCCTAGTCTCTCCCATGCCAATGCACAAATCATAGTCAATTTTCCCCATGCCGCAGAGGAGCATTTACTTTGTTGCTGAGGGCAAGCCACAAGTCCTCAATGTCACCCACTCAGACCTTGGAGTTGTATTCAGGTTGTGAAGCTCACTACGCATCAAAATAATACCAGATACTTTGCATTTCTGTAGTTTTCCTCTCTCTCTCACTTTAAGGATTTTGATCTATTTATGTTGTGAAGCCTGGAGCTAGCCAGCACCTAAGCACTAAGGCTGTGCAAAGCTTCAGTAGCTGATTTGATTTGGAGATCTGGTGACCAAATCTCCGAATCAAATCGGGGGACCAATTAAAAGCTCTGAATTGAATCCGAAGCCTCGGAATCTATTCGGAAAAGATTCGGCCCGATTCGGAGATTCGGCCATAGACTAAACAAGCAGCAGTCCTCACCACACTGGACAAAGCTGCTTCCAGCTGGTAAATCAGGTGTGGTGGGTGGAGGGGGGAGATAAGGGGCATGGGGGAGGGAGGGATTGGGGCTGGAACAAGCTGCCCAGCTGGGGCGGGGGACGCAGGAGCAGCAGCGCTCGGAGCAGGGGCTCCACCCTACTGCCTCTTGCCCAGCCAGGGTGGGAGGAGTGGGTCCGGATGCAGGCACAGCTCGTTGTGGGCGTAAGGGGGCAAGCAGCAGCAGGGCATAACCTGCTGCTTGCCCAGCCAGGTCATGGAGCTGTGGGATGCGGGTGCTGCTGCCACTTGCCCAGCTGGGGTGGGATCCCTTCTACCCAGAGCAAGCCACACCTGCATCTGCCCACATCCCCGCCGGCTGGGCAAGTGGCAGCAGGGCATAACCCCCGCTCCCAGCACCACCACGCATGTATCCTGCACCTCCCTGCCCCGCTCCAAGTCCCACGCCCCCCACCCCAGCTGAGCAGCTAGTCCCAGTCCCAGCCCCAATTCCTCCCTCCCCTACAGCCCTTCCCTTCCCCCTCTGCCCACCACAACAGACTTATAAGCTGGTGGCAGCTGTGTCTAGCATGGTGAGGACTGCTGCCTGTTTAGTCTGTAACCAAATCTTCGGATCCAGTTCAGCCGAATCAAATCAGGACAGCGATTCAAGTCTCAGGGGGACAGAGATTTGATTCGGAATCAGCCGAATCCGAAGTAAATACTTGTTGCTTCATGCAGGTGTACTAAGCATACTGCAAGTCTCACCCCAAGAACTTCTGTTCCTGCCAGAAAAACAGCTAAAAGCTTTGACTGAGCCTTTTTGGAAAAAAAATTAAAAGGAAAGAAATTGTGAAAATGACTGAACATGTTGTAGCTACTCCCTTCCCTTCCCTGCTTCTAATTCAGTGACTAGTAATCTTCAACAAGCCACGGGCTGGAACAACTTGGCTTCAGTCTGACATTGGCCAGATCACTTCAGCACTAAGAGGCCAACTGGGAACTATACCACCACCACTTCTCTCATCCCCCTACTTCCTGGCTGGAGCATAAGCACAGCTCCCTCCCAGCTGAAGGCAGCGCTCACGTAGCAGTAGGGACAAGGGGTGGGGTGGGAAGCAGCAGTAGTGGTGCAGGCACTGCTGAGACTGCCCAGGCCCAGCACAAAGAAAGCCTTCCAGTTCTGTGGGCTGAATCTGGCCTGTAGACTGCAGGTTGCCAACTCCTGTTCTACATAATTAAAAACAATTTATTCAGAATTTTCTGATTCAAGCTTTACCATCACAGAACAGCAAGGAAAATTTGGTTTGCAACCCCCAAAATCCTGCTGGTTTCTTTCTAGCACCCAGTTACTTACTACAATCATTCCACTGCAAGAGCATGCTAGTATCAAACAACAGGGAGGACCCAAACAAGAGGAAAATTGACTGGCGTTACAAATGCAACAGAAATAGAAATTCTCTTGTACACCTTCCAATTTAACTGACGGACTATCAAAAATTCAAAGTCGCCCAAAATTGATTCATGTTCAGCCTTTAACTTAAAAACACTACCAGAAATTTCTGAACTCAAGTTCCTTGCTCACTATTACTTTTATTCCACAAGGAGACACAGTGAATCTTGTGGCTAGAGCTACCACTTGAACTGTCATCCTCAAACCAGGGTTCTGTAGCAGCCAGGGTGCCACAAGACCCTTTCAGGGGTGCAAGCAACACTGTAGCCATGTGCAACTGTGCCATGTGCCTTGTGAGGAATCAGATCAGGAGCAGATGCTCTTGCCACAGCCTTTCCAGGTACAGCTCTATATGTTCCTCCCAGAAACAGGGGCACATGGGATAATTCCACCTCTGTGCTCCCACCATGGCCACTTCCCAAATCAGCTCTGCAGGAGGCATGGTGACAGCAGCACCTGTATCTTGAGTGAGAACCACTGTCCTACAGGAAAGATAAGTCTTGCTCTTGGCCTCTTCCTCAAGCCCGATACCTTGTCTTTGCTTGTCACTATAATCACACACCAGTTGTATGTTAATTAAGCAAGTAGCTTTAATAATTAAGTGGGGGAGAGGAAAAAGAGAAGCATTTTGGCATGAGAGAAACAAGCCATTTTGAACTCCAGGTCAACAACTTCAGTATGTGGATCAAAAGCCGCTCCTGCAGCCTTTCTGCAGCAAGCAGACAAAGGGCAACATGAATTACCACATTGCATTTTAACCACCTGATGCTGGTCAAAGTTTAGATCCATCCAGTTTAAGGGCTGCATGGACAAGATAGGAAGAAGGATGTTTTGGCACACACTACTGTAATGTTCTAAAGGTTAATCAGCCTGCTCTGCAGTCTACTGCTGAGTTTGCTTTATTAGAGATTCCTGGTGCCTGTACAGTCACCAGCACAGAAGGAGAGAAACAGGCAGTTAAAGTGCAAAGTACTTACTGCAGACAAGGTTCCTTGGGTGAATTTGATATCTTTTATTAGACCAACCCAAGTACTTACTGCTTCATTTCAGAGTCTACTGGCATAAAAAGTGATGGGGGTAGGCAGTCTGAGATGAAAGTTCAGTCTTTCAAATGAACTTATATGACTGTGCCTGCCATTATATGCATTAGTGACTGAGGCAGTATAACAATGGTCCTGAGACTGCCACCAGATTCAAAAGTTATGGAGAGGTGCCCTGACTAAAACAGGTGAAAACTACTGCACTAGAAGTTATGAGCTATACATTCTCTCCTCAAAGCTACTTACTTGCTGCAACCACTTGGCCCTTCTGGAATTAAAAATATACTATGTCCCAACAGCAGTTTCAAACTGGTCACCTTTCATCAAAAGAATTTCAAAAGTGACTAACCAAAGTTCTTAAAATCAAGATCTGTTCGTGTCACATCCTCCTAGTATGTTTCCATAATACTTATAATGTCAGAGCAACAGGCAACAAGAACAGGAGACATTGTCACTAGCGAGAACCACAGAATGTTGAGTCCTGCACAGCCATAGAGCAAAAAGACTGCAAGATCTTCACTTACAGTTGTCTCTCTTTCAAGCAGTAACCAATAGGAAGTACCAGTCATAAATGGTTAACTAAACCCTGAGGGTCAAAAACTTTTACTCACCTTTGCAACACAGGCTTGCCAACTGTTTTTGCACATTTCAGTTCTATAACAGTTGTTGTTTTCTTGTTTTCACTACATTCTTGTCCACCGGAGTAACTAATATATACTTTATCATCTGAAAAGAAAGAGACACTCAGGGTCCTTGTAGTTCTCTTTACAAACTACAGCTAGATGCTTAAAATTGTATAAAGAACTAAAATCAGCATTTCATCAGACTATGTGTCAAATTACAGTATTTTGTAATAATCAGTGCAACATCCAAATCTCAAATCACTCCAAACAAACCATTACTATGCAACTCTTGCATACAATTCCCACCCCCAGTTTAAAATTTAAAAAAATATATCTGTCCTGTACTTTTGTATTGCAACAAGTTTTCTTGATACATTGTAAAATTCCCTTCCACATTCTCAAATAGAGAAATGTGAGAAGAAATGAGAGAAACTCATTTATGTGAGAAAAATAAAAAATTATTTTTACTGTTTATAGACAAGCTCTGGGGGGGATTTAATTAGAGAGACTCCAAGAGCTGCTCTAAAGCACCCAGAGCATCATGTGCATCAGTGTTCTCGTGCTGAAACAGTGGTGGGGATGCTTTAACTAAAGCTCATTTGTACTCATCCCCGTGCTGAAAAATGATGCATCTGGAGCCCCATTAACAATAAAAAGCTTACAGGCAAGAAGTCAGTTCTTCTGCAGCCTTCACATAAACATTTCAGCATAATTACTAGGTCCTTGTAAAACAATTAAAAAAAAATCATCATTGACAGAAGTTCAGAAGGATTATTGTACCTGTCACATTCAGCTTCTGCGTGTGTACAAGTCCTAGCACCTGAACAACTCCATTTTGGCTTTTTTTGCAAATACTAGCTCTGTCAGAGCAGCCTGTAGGTCCTTCATATACTCTCTGACAAAGATTCATGTAATACCTACAGCATGAAAAAAACCCACATCACTAGCAGACAGAGATTTGAAATAAACATATGCTAAGCAAACAGGAAGAGGGAAGACAATCATACCATTCATATATTTTGAAAAGTAGCTTGGCTTTCTTTGTTGTAATGACTTGTAATCAAATTATTTTTAAAGGCTCATATACATGAGCTGAGGCAAGCAGTGTGTGAACTACAAAACCCTGCAGGTTTTTAGCCAGCATTTCCAAGTTGAATGACTTGATTTTATTTTATTTTTTTTAAATAAAACTCATTTGACATTTCTTACCAATTTAAGTACACACTTATAACAAAGTTACAGTTGGATGGAAGTGAACTAGAAGTTTTAACCAATACATAAAATAATGTCACCTTGAACTAGGCCGAAACATAAAACAAAATTTACATTTAGAACAGACTAAATGAGGGAGTACAGTTGAATTGTTTCTGGTCTCAATGACCTTTTAAGTCTTTAGCGTAGGTAGGCCTCCTCTCCATTTTCTTTTAATCACAAACAGGCAGTTGAAAAAGCAGAGACTCCCCCCTCCCCCCAAATCAGCTGTGCAACAGTCATTGGCATTTGGAAAAAAGAGACTTGAAGTATTTCCTCTACTAGAAATGAAACACTGAATGCTGAAAGTGAGAGTTAATTACATATGATATTGCACCATGTTTATAAAGCTTAATCTGAGGTAAAACCAAGGTGCTCCCCTTCATTAAATATGCAAATAAACGCCTTAGAAGTGCTGTATCAATGAATTATTGACACATGAAAATGAATTTTGTGCTAAATTTTGGCATCTTATGTTTAAACCTAATCTCAGTTTGGAAACAGCTAAAATATTTAAAAGATACAATTGGCTTATATAAAACTTCTATCCAGTTGACATCCATTTAAAGAACTTTATACTGGAAAAATCCTATCAACTTAAAATAAACTACTGACCATGGTCTATCAAATACTGATAATGTCATACCCTCTAACTTTAGTACAGGAGCTATTCAGTGGATGAAAATAAAGAACATTAAAATATGAACTCACGAGCTCCCTTCATAGGAGAAGACCCAAGATCCTGTAAGGGAAGAAAGCACTCTCAAATCGTATGTTTTGTGCTTTTGGATAAACTTGCATTCCATCTTCTGTGGAGGACAAACCACCTGCGTCTTCCACTCAAATGTCACAGCACAGCCAAGTGTCTCACTCAAAAGCTGAGGGGTGCCTTCGCCAGCATTTTCATCACACTTGAAAATAATAGTAGATTCCCGATTCCCAACCACTACGAGAAGAATCATTAAGGATGATTAAGAACCTGAAGATGTTTAAAGGCATTTGTAATTACTGCATTGCAGAACTGACATAATCAGGTAGAAGAGTGTTCAGATTAGACTGAGCCTGCTATGGGCAGCAGACATTTGAAAGAACAGAATTAAAATTCAGAACGATCTTGATAAATTGAAGAAAAATGATGCCAAAAAAAACAAACCAAACAAAACAAAACAGGAAATGGGAAACATTGCACTCAGGACAAAAAAAAAAAAGTTACATGTACAAATAACCAAAGAACGGAGAAGGCTTCAGACCTGCCAGAAAGAACCTGCAGGAGTCACACACGTCAGAGGAAAAGATCCTTTCATTTTATTCCCCACAGGACTGGCAGCAGCTGGTTTACATAGCCAGTAAGGAGATTTCAAGTAGATATTAGAAATAATTTTTTAACCATGAAAGTAAAGAAGTGGAACATATAGGCTGTGGAACTGCAGTCACCGGAAATTAAATGCAGATTAGAGAAACACCAGAGTAGGGTGATTTAGACAAGGATGTTCTGCTTTGGAGCAAGAGGTTGAAGTAGATGACCTTCTGTGGTCCCTTGAAACCCTGTTTTTCTACACAGCTAGCAAAGAGATCTGAAACTTGTTTTTTAGGACATATGCAGTTGTTGCATTCTACCTGCTAGATTTACCATTCGGTTTTCATGTAACATTATGCCAATAACAAAGAACTTGCTTCCATGCGAGTTGGACTGCTCTATATTAAGTAAAGCTTTTTACCATATTCTGATGATTGACAATTTTCTACAAGTTCATGCAAAATACTTGTATTCAGACAAACCTATTTATTCCATACAATGCATCCCCTCTCCCACCTCCAAGCTTTACCCAGTGGTCCCTTTTGATTGCTATTATACCAAGGTCCTTTACTGGTGCCTTTAGTAATTTGGTCCAGTTCTGAACTGCATACACTTCATACCCAGGTTAATGTCTTACTAACCATTTCCACAAAATCCCCATTTTCCATCTTTGTCATAATCCTTAGTTGTGGAACACCACGGTTTTCCTTCTCCATCTGTAATGCACTCCTCATAGTTCTTGTCTTTATACTTGAAGGGGAAGACACAAAGTTCACCCTTTTCGGTCACTGAAAGTGGAGGCAACATGTCAGTACACAAAATATTCTCATTACTAGGTATACTTTTTTGGATTTATTCTGCTCACTGCCACCCCTCCATCCACCATATTTTGAAATTCACTGGCACAATTAGTTATGTATGGATGTCACATCTAGAAGCATTCAGATACCATACTTGGTGCGAAACAATCGTCTAAACAAAGAGCTAAAAGCTATCATTTAGCTATTTCAAACCTGCTGTCTGTTGCAAGGATTACAGTTTGCAAAGAAAGGCTGTCCTCTAGCATTAGAATTTAGTAGATCACAAACGTAAACATATTAAGTTACAATAAAAGCCAAGATTGCTTCTTTCAAACAGTAAAATTATTTTCTTGACAGTTGCGACTCATTTTAAATGTAGAAGTACACAGAGTCAGTTATGGGATCTTACCTGGAGGGCACTGATCGCCCCTTGTGTACTGCAGAATGACAGTTTCATCCTGATGCCTGTAATCCATTTTCATTTCTTTGACGTTTCCAAAGGAAGCAGCACTGTTTTCAGACACCAGGCATACTGCCCCGTCTTTGCATTTTCCCTGCGGTACATCTACTGCTTTAGCGCACACGCCAACATGGTAACTGTTGGAGCCAGACAAGATCTGCATGGACACCCAACAGTGGCACGTTAATTCAGAAAAATAAGTGACAGGATAACCAGCAGGCAATATTCTGCAAGAATTTAAGAATCTCCCATGTACTCAAAGTTCTGCATAAGGCTCAAATGGAATGAACACACAAGGATTCTGTAAGGCCAATAAGTAGTCTATAGCCAAAGGGATATGAGTGTGGACATGCAGCACATTTACACCACTGTAATCTGCCTAGACTCCTCTGGAAACATGAAGTAGGAGTCAAGCTACTGAGAGTCATTCTGGGATAGTCAGAGCATGGTTATTCCCAAGTGTTGCAGCAGTTAGTCACACAAAAGGCACACGGAGCATCTGCAGTTCTAGGCAATTTTGAATGGAGTTGGCCCTCAACTCAAGGCAATTTGTTACTGGCTACTCCACCATCTAGTGGAGAACAACTGAAAGAGAGCACCCTGTCGGTAGTAGCCTTAGCTGGGTGTCAATGCACTATGGAACACCATAGTGCAAAAAACTGATGCAAGTTACACTAGTGTTTACTTGCATATTAATTCTGGGTGGAGACATGAGTAGTCCAAATGGAACAGCAAGCTCTCCCTAGGGGCAGCTGGAGTTGACACAGAACAAGTACTATGTTCTCACAGTTTACTTAAAATGAAAGTTACTGCTATGAATTCAGAGTATAAATTTCCCACTCCTAATAATATGGGCAAAGCAATAGCAACTGGGTTACCTTGTATGTGTTTTTAGAAAGGCTGGACAAGTCAAAAGTGTAGTGCAACTGCTCATCAGTCACAGAACAGCCTGAAGTTTTCACTTGATCGGGACACACCAACGGAGTGCCCCACTCAAACACAAAGCTGCAGTCAAGCCTTCTTATCATCTTTGGCTTCCCCTGTTACCAAAAAAGCAAAGTAGCATTAGAGGTTTCAGTTATCTCTCTGCAGTTACTTAGCAGTCAGGAGAAGTCTTAACTGACTGTAATCTTGGTACAGGGCTATCACCTGTACAAAATGCTACAACTTGAACATTTTGCAAGCATCAAAGCATCCATTTTGTATCTTATCTAAAGGATTTGCAGGACGAAGGAAAAAAAAAAAAAAACGACTGTTTTCCACGAAATGGAAGTTCAAAATTTGGCTGCGTTTGGCATTGAACAAAACCTAAAAAGTTCCAGAAGAATCTCAAAGAAAAAAAATCCTTAATAAAATTCAGCTTTAGTTCAATTAAAAGAGTTTTGTTCCCTTCCCAATTTTGTTTCAAGAGAGACTTCAAACCAAAATTGTCAACTACATGGGGAAAGAATATTTCCATTTGACGTTTTGGAATTTTGGTTTGGCTCTAAAACAAGAAATTCAGCAAGATAAATGTGATTCCCGCCCCCCCCCCACAAGTTGTCAGATTTTGAAGGAAAGCATCTCTGAAGGAAGTGGCTTTGCTGAAGTTTCTCACAAGTTCTTGTCTTCCTTTGCTTATATTAACCTATGAATAAGACCCAGCTACATTCGAAGAACACCTTGGACATGCATTTGAGCACTTGAGAAGCACTAACACTTACAGCTTGCTGTGCATCCTTAACTTGGTCCCTGATCAGGAAAGAGTCCTTAACTTAGCAGAAAGGATTCTAGTTTGATATCTACTCAGTTACACAGTAATTCTGTAGAAAATAGTCAGGCTAAGTACAGGTAATCAAAAAGCCTGAGGTTGAATCTTCGTAGGTTAGGTCTAAACTGCACTGATTGAATTGATAGGCAAGTGAACAGACATTCACTTTTCACACCACAAATGCAGCCACATGCTTGCAGTGGCCCAGGGCAGAAGCTGGGGAGGGGTAGGTGCTAGAGCACGCCTCCCTGCTCAGCTGAAACAGGCAGCTTGGACCAAGGCTAGCCCACTCACCCTGCATGGGAGGTTTGCAGAAGAGATGCAAAGCATCATGGGTGGCTGGAGGGTTGAATTAAAACGTGAATCTAGAGGGGATCTGGGACAGAAGTTCAATAAACTGATTTAACCTAAATCAGTTAAGTCTGATACTTCATCCATCCAGGCTTATCTTAAACCGAGTTGCAGCCATTTTGAAAGTGCGTTCCATGCACTGAACTTCTGTTGTGTTAGATTTGAACCAGTTTCCACTCACTTATACCAGTGTGTGTGCAATTTCTGTACCTAGCCTGAAAATACAGGCAGCCAGACAACCTTCCCTAGCATTTCCCATCTCACATGCCTAAGAACAAATCACCTTCTAAAAAAACATGGAAACTCAATGCAGGACAGAAGAAAGCTTTACAGATTTCAGGTTTTCTGACTTTTGGTACAGGGTTAAAAAGAAAAGAATCACTGAATGCTGTTACTGAAAAATGAGAGCTTAAAGTTATTCCCCACTTAGCTGATTCAGCTTTGTAACCCGCATAGCCTGCCATACCCAAAGGAAAAAAGTGCACCTTAAAAACAATTGAATTGGGCTATTTACTTCACAAGCATCTTCTTTAATATTCACTGTTCTTGCATAAAGTTTAAAACAAAAATCCACTAAGCCAGTGGCTTTCAAACTGGGATATGGAACATTGTGCCAAAGGGAACGCGCCTAAATTTTAATAATGACAGTGGGGCTTTTGAATGACGTGCAGTGCATAATGGGGCTGTCACATGCTGATGTCTGTGTCGCTTCTCCTATGGAAGGAACATGCAGATACATCAGGTGTAGGGGATATAAGCAGTAATAATTTTGCAGCTAACTATATGCAGTCAAGAAAGTTTCAAAATCACCACACTAAGCAAAAGCAACACTCCCTGATCGGTGCTCATTTCTATATGCTCATATATTTTATCCTCCTGCTTTTAGCTGATCTTTTCATTCCAACATGTGAATGCTTCTTACCAGAGCTATTCCTCTTTCACACTGGAAGACTATAAGGGAAGTATAGTTGAGCTTTCTGTCTGCTGGACAAGGCGTGGTACTGTTAAAAGTAATATGGACTTCATTTGTTGCAGGATTTAGAGTAGGAGGTTCAGTGATGTGACCAATGTCCTAAATAAGCAAAGCACACTTGTTAACAAAATGCATATCAAGAACTGACTCATATCAAAGGAACTGAACCCCTACATGTTCTATTGGCTATGCTTGCTCCAGCTCAAGCCAAGTGCACCTGGAAGTCATTCCCTATAATTGCTCTCCTTAAAAACAGATACATCTTTAGAACAAGTCAAAAGGAATTTAACATTTTGAAGTACTTTCATTTGTCCATTTGCCCCTCCTCACTTACTTTAAGGGTAGCACATTTCAGTAAGAGAACATTAGTATCCCTGGCAGTCTTGCCTAAGACTGTGCTATCACCTTCAAACTCTATCATGGTGTTTTGGCTGTATCTGGTCATCAAATCTTCTTGTGAAGTTTTGTAGATCTTTAACATTGTATTAGTTTTCCTCACTGACCTATCTAAAAGGTGAAGCAGAAATGTAACACACTGCTCTGCCACACAAGGTGGCTAGTTAGTTTTCTGCTCACTAACTGAAATATTCAGCAGCTATTTTTAATGAAAACCCAGGAGATGGAGATATTTGCTTACAGGTTTTGGTCCATCAGTAAGAGCTGTCAGCATGACACTGACAGGGAAGCTTGGAATGCCAGAGATTATCTCATTTGGGATAAGATGAAGACACTAACAGTAGAAGATGCATAATGGACAGACCTTTGCTGATGCCGTTTTAATCTATCTACAGCTTCCTTCACCCCCCCTCAACAATCCTGACTCCAAACAAGACATTTCACTACATCAGGGAGGTTTTCAGGATACATTTGTCAGTTCTCAGTATTCCAGTGGTTTCTGGATACTGTACTTACTATAGGAGGACCAGTAACAGGAACCATGCAGACTGCTGCCCCAGGAGGGCAGTTGACATCATTGATTGGATTGAGGGGCTCACAAATATTAATGTAGAAGTCTGGAGTGAGGTCAGTTAGATCATCATCATCAAATGCCTCATAATAACCCGTTCGATGGATCAAAGGGGAGAGGTCAATAACTGAGCTGCCATTCAACACCGAGCATTTCACCTGTTAAGAAACATGTTTGATGTTCTCATAGAATTGTTTGTTCTGCAATGACACCCTTTGGTCAGAAAGGGGAAATTACACTTGAAAAAAAAGGTAAATGCATTTTCAAATTTCACAGTAAACCAAAAATAGGCACAGGATTACACTTAAAGTGAAATACTCAAATCATTAGCTGATAATGCAGTAAACTTCTCATTGTACAAGCAAGGCTGCTATTTCTAGCAAGTTAATATTTACTGGCGTTATTGAAAATTAAAGGTTCCAGTGTTATCAGAATCAAAGAATTTAATTGGGAGCAACACACTCTTATCAGTGTCCAGTTTTAGAGACAGAAAAGGACCATTATGATCATTACAATCAGTGGCCATTATACAGGGCCACTGATGCCCTGTATAACGTACTGGAGAAGTTCACCCTGAAGGTCCTACAATAATCTGTTCCATCCACAGCATTTTCAAGAAAAGATGCATATACACATGCAAATCATGAAATGAAATTAACTTGCAAATACCAAAACTCAGTGGTTAAGCTGAAAATGAGCCTGGTACTATTCTGGTTGGGAGACATAGGGTCTTCCTAACAGATTAGTTAGGAACATTACCCAAAAGACTTCCCTTTGCAGGGCTTGGAGGTCTGAAAACTAATGCAGTTTGAAGTCAGGCAGAAGGTGCCACCCTGTCCTGCATCCTGTCTTAAATGGGGCTTGTTAACTAGAGCCAAACTTTTACTTTCCATTATACAAGCTCCATACACTGTATTTACTGCTGCTTCATTAGCTAGACAAAACAAATACTTCCTGTAGGAAGAGTTATCCCCACCCAGAAAGCTTAGCAGAGGTCTCTTTACAAAAAACTTCTGTATTAGAAGAAGCTTATCTTCTGAAAGGAAGAATCTATTCATTAACAGCAGTGTTGAAGCACTGTTACTATGGTTTCCTTGTCAAAACTTCAGCTTGTGGATCCTTACCTCCTCTTCACAAGCTAGAGAAGTATGCCAGGAAAAGTAGTGTGTGCAGGTCTGTTCATCAAAAGATAAGAGAACAGGCTGACCATCTCCAGCATCCGATTTGCACACAAAGCTAAAGTGACTTCTGTGTTTCAATGCAGAATTCGCTGGACAAGGATCTCCCCCTTCATAGACCAGTTTCAGTACTTGATCCTGATAGGTTAACATTTTGCTCCGTCTTCCAGCAATAATATGTTTCTGACCATCACTAATGCAGACACCTAAATAAAATTAAATGAGAAAGAGTTAAATTTGGAAATAAAATGACTATCATGCAACCATTCATTGTTCCTTATGTCTTCAGGAAGTTATAAACAAGATTGTAAAGAAGTCTGGAAAAAGTGTTCTCATGCTTTTTTTTTTTTTTTAAACTGAAGTCTTTCAGTACATAGAACTGCTATAACAAAGAGTTGCACTGGTAGGTTTAAATTTAGATTTACAACCACTGCCTTGCACAAAGTACAGAGTTTAAAAATCCAAGCAATTCAAACAACATTTTAACCAGGAATTAATACAAAACAAGCAAGAAACCTCATTTCAGAACAAGGTTTATCATCTTCATACTGAAGTGTGAGAGATTCATTCAACAGCTTGCTTGCAAGAGGCAGCATTTACACTGCACATTTTAGTGTACTCAATACATAGGAATAGTGTCAAATTTTTAAAAAATGTTTAAAACCGATTTCTATTAACTGTTCATTGAGAGGCTGGGAATATAGCCTATGACCAGCCCGGTGGAAAGTATGTGTGTGGGTGGAGGTGGGGGAATGGAGTGAAGTCTGGTGGCATTTTCAAAAAAACGTGGTTATGTAACAAGATGCTTAGCCCCCATTGAAAATTCTACTATTTGAAAATCAAAGTATTAGGAATAAGGCATGCATCTACTCGCAGTGCTTACCTGTATCTTCGGGTCACTAAAAATGCCTTTAAGATTTAGGAACCGGTCTTTCTTTTACTTTTTAAAAAAAAAATCAATGGCTCTCCAGTTTCTCTTTAATTAACAGATACACTCCCAGTTGGTTTCAATTATTAAGAAGTGCTGGCATTTCAAGAGATAAAGGTACTAATCATCCACTCTACTGCAATTGCACTGAAATTAAAATCCTTAATGCCATACAGGACTGGCACTGATGAAAGTGACCTTAAAACCTTAAGCAAATTTTCCCTGTTTCTAGATATGGATAATGAAAAAGCAGCACCATTAAGCTTGCTACAGGCTGACGGTTTATTGAAGTTATACTAATTTAGGCCTAAGTCCATGGCTTCCATCATTTCAAAGAGTACAGCAAAAGCCGTGTTAACCGGCACTTTATTAGCTGGAAAACTCTACTAACTGGTATCCAAGGGACACAGCTAAAACAAAAGCAGAAGCACCACTTCTAGGGGGCTTCCAGTTTCTGCACTGCAAGCCAAGCTTTTCTTTGTCACTTCTTCAGCCCACGGCCTGGGGCAAAGCAGCCTGCATGGGGGCCCCTTCTCTGTCCCCCGGCACACTGACGCCAGGGAGTGCACCAGACAGTGCGTATTTGATTTAACTGGCATCCCCCATTCCCAGAGGATGTCAGATAACAGAGCTTTTACTGTATTTATATATATTTTTTTTTTTAACAGAACTGTTTAAATGAAGAGCCAATTTTTCTACTTAAATCTGTTTTGCCTGCCCTGTTTTATGCCTATGAACAGTCACTCAACATGCAACATTTCAAAACTAACAGAACCACACAATTCCCCACATTCCCACAAATAATGCATGTGCTTGCTTCATGGAATAACATTATGATGGCACAAACATTTAACATGTGGGGTCCATTGAGCTGGAAAAGATTTTTGCTTAAAGACAAAACCACGCAAGTTAATTGTCCATTTGATGTGTGCTAAACCCTTTGCATATTACTGCACCTCTACCAAGAGAAGCTACCTAAAGTGGTAACAAGATGCATTTAGTGTCCTCCGTACATAGTCGCATACAAAACTGCAAGAGCTCTGAGGCTTACCAGGTCAGTAACTGGGGTCCTAGATTACTAAGACTGATACTCAGCCACATGTGAATGAACAAACAGGATTTTCAGCACTGGTCTCTCTTTCAAACTCCAATGATAAGTCTCACTGATCTGGAGTTTGAAAGAGAGTTGTCTATGATAAGTCTCTGAGTGGCTTGGGAGAGATTGCCCCCTTCCAAACAAAACTGGGAGTTTTCTTCCCTAAAGGACAATAGTAGGATTCCTCTAAGCTTAGCAGGTTCCCCATCATAGGGTTCCATCGCGTCATCCTTATTTTTCAAGGTGTCTTGAAGAAATGTAAGAAGTAGATACTGACAGCAACGTTTTCCTATTCTGTCTATTAATTCCAAGTTCCCTGGGCAATAGGATGAATTTACTTTCTGTAGCAGAATGCGGCCTAGAGAAGACAATCTAGATAGGACCGAAACCCCCTCAGCAGGTTCAGTTTTATTACATGACAAAACCAAGCCTATTATGGCTGAGGGTACTTAATATACAGATGGAATAAGCTGTTTGAGTTAGTCTCAGGACAAGTCAAAGGGCATGCATCTACTACTATAAAAATTTGTGCAACATCCTCCTATCATGAGATCATCACTCAAGTTTGATTTCATGATAGACCATAAGAACTGCCATATACTGGGTCAGACCATAGGTCCATTTTGCCCAATATACTGTGCGTCACACTAGCAGGAAGGAGATGCTAAGAGTGAACCAGGCAGACCAGGGTTTTTCTGCTGTTCCTCCCCTGCTTGCAACCTCCAGCATTTTAAGGTCTAGGAAGTTCCGATTCAGATACGGTTACCATATTTCAAGTTCTCAAAAAGCAGTATGATTGCGGGGAGACAGTGATATGCCAGTGCCCTGCCCTGCCCATTCCATTGCCCCTCATTCCCAAGCCACAGCTCCTCCCCACCCCAACCCTGCTGCCATCTCACTCCCAACCTGCAGACGCTTAGTGCTGCGAGTGCCCCCACTCCAGACCTGCAGCCCCCCACCCCTCCCCCGGTGCCCCTTATTCCAGCCCCACAGCGCCCCTCAATCCCAAGCCACAGACCCCTGCTCCCCCCAGGTCTGCCAGTGCCCCTCACTCCCACCCACAAGCCTTGCAGCCTCTCCCACCCAGCCACCTCACCCCTGCAAGCAAGGGCACCAGCCCTGGTGCCACCAGCCTGGCCACACAGCTCCCCTCCCCACCACCTCTCCTGCAGCCCCAGCGCCCAGAGTTTTCCCCAGTGCCAGCAGGCACCTGCCTCCCATCATATACCCAGCCCCTACACACACACACACACACACACACACACACCCCCTCTCAAGAAACAAGCAGCAAAGTTATTGGCCACTACTGTCTGATCACGGTGAGCTGCTCCAGTAGGAGTGGAAGTTTGGTTTTCTTAGCAAGACAAACTGCTATCTTCTAGGATCTACATCTTCTAATCTGAATCTTACAATTAGGAAGAAAATCCTCAAACCCAGATCAGGAGCTTGCTGACTGCATAGGCATGGAGGCAGAGTCCGCTGAAGAGCTCTAGAAAGTTGTAGGATCCTGGCCCCACCTGACAGCCAACCTACTGGTCTACCTCCATGGTCCTCAGAAACCATGCTCCCACCCCCTCTCTAGTTCATACCGTACTTCACATGCTAGTACAGAACAGTCCTCCTGACACCTCAGATCTAGCACTGATGGATGTTCACTTTTAAAGGAATCTGGAATGCCACTGTAAGGCATAAAACTTAAGTTTATAGTTTAATCTAGTCTTAACTAGCTGCTGTCACCTTCCTTTCAACAGCCCCTATTTGTGGATTTTTTAAAAGATCCTTTGTTAACTTTGTGATAAAACAAAAAAATTTTACCAACATACTGTACCTACTATCGTGCTTACAACTGGTTTTGTGGCACCAAAGGGGGAAAAAAAATATTCAGAACAACACTTACCAACCCCAGTACCACATGAGCTTTTAACTTCATCACAAATACCCAACTGAACAGTTTTTCTGCTCTTGTTGTCATAGAGAGTGTAGCCAGCTTCCCTCTTCAAAGAATTCAGGTCAAACAGGTGGCCTGCAGAAAGATCAGAAGGGGGAAATGTTTTTATTTTATTTATTTTTTTAAAAACAAGAGAGAGAGAAATCCATTCCTACGTATATCTGAGACAAGTTGCCCATCAAGCCAGAGGGGTGGTAACTGATAAGCAATTAGAATAAATGCTGATGTGAGGAGTGGGTTGGCCTTGAAGGCTTTTAGGGAGTCTAGCTAGGGTAGAATTAAGGTCTTCAAGAGTTCAATTACCCTAGCTGCCAGTGCTGACAAAAAAACCAACAGGAAAGCTGAATTCTGGGGATACTGACAGGTCTCTCAGGGAACTACAGTATAGCCAGATGAGGGGGCAAGAAACTTCACTTATTTTGCTTTGCTGTCTCCAAACCTACAGTCAGGATAAAAAGAATTACATAAGCAAGACGACACAGACAATCCTCTTGCTTTGTCTCCTTACTGATTTGCATGTAGAAAGAATGATTTCTAGGCAGGCAATACTCCAAGCATAACCCAATGGGGTGGCTACCTGTGGCTGGCAGGAACTCCTTCAGTGCAACTGCAGGATGTGGTATAAGGGCAATGGAGCTGAGGTTTGCTGTAGGAAGCTCTCAGGATAACCTTGGGGCAAGTGGCAGAACAGTAGGTAGAAACTAGAGCAGCGATTCCCTAACTGTGGGTCGTGACCCCAAATGGGGTCGCAACATCAGCAGATTGTCACAGGGGAGGAGGGCTGGGAGTTGGGAGTGAGGGGCCATGCTGACGAAATGAGGGCCATGTTGAGGGAGTATGGGAAGCACTGAACTAGGGACTTTGGGGGTCCCCTGCAAACAAATCTGACAAAAAAAGATGCTTTAACAGATTTGGAGGCATAAAAAAAAAAGTAATCAGTAGAAATCAGTCTCTACCAAGTTTTGATGACCAGCTTAAAAGGCAAATAAAAATTTCAGAGTTTGGATGTTGAGTCAGCAGCAGGGTCAGGGCCTGCCAACAGCCTTCACATTATAAACCAAGCCAAAACAGCTCCAGGAGGTCCTCCCTTTCTCTCCTGTGTTCCCTCACCTCAACATAAAGGCTCTCCCCTAAAGAAGGTGTTTAAGAAAAGCCTCCACCCCAAGAGGAAGTAGTTCTAGAGACCAATTTGGCAAAGGAATTTGGGATTCAGAATTCTCTCACTCTTCCCCTTATCCCATTAGGACAAGGCTATTTGAAAATGATCAAATGCACAACTGTTCCCAGCTATCCTTCACATCTGCCATGTGCCAGATCCACATGCATAGAATCACCAGGTCTCCTACCTGTGACTGGGTTTGTTACTCTACAATCATTGTTCATGTTGTTTGTCAAAGGACATGCAGCAGCAGTGAACCACAAGAAAGTATATTCACAGTCTTCCAGCGCAGTTACCAGCTCTGGTTTAGATTCCTGAAACAAAACAAAAAATTAAAAGGAGTTTCACAACAGGCAATTCCTTGAGCATACGCCAAGTTTAACCCATCTTAGACTGGGTAGTAGTGCATCCTACTCCAGTGATTCAGCAACCGGCCTACTGCATTCAGTTCTGACCACTTCAAATTGGCAGAGGAACAGTTATTAGCTGCAGAAGGGGTCAGACTTAAAAAAAAAACAACTTAAAAAGCCTCACACCACTGGCCTTGGGGATGCTGCTGCACAGGAAGAGCATGAGGAACTTGTCTAGAATACTGAAAAGGCATAAAAACAAAGAACTGCATGCATCATAGCGTGCATACATACAAGTGCCACTAAAAACTAAGTGAAATTAATGAGGAATATTTAGGCTAATATTAGCAGCAAAATTCTTGAAGACATTTTGTTAGTGCAATTCTTTTCCAGAGGAAGGTATCAGAACTCCATTGCTGAGTATATTTTAAAAAAGGAAAACCAAAAACACAGTAGAGAGCAAAATTTGCATTAGCAGGTACAGCAGACATTAAAATTTTTGCTCATGTGGTCAGATTGAGCATTTAAATCTGGAATTCTCTCTCTAGCTTAGCTCCCTAAGCAATCTAAAATGTGCTCCACTTTTCCCTTCTCAGCAAAGCTGATATCACAGCAAGATAAGACCTCATCCCCACCAAAATACTTACAACTTTACTTTCCTCACACTTGAGGCGCAGTATTGTCATCTTCTTGCGAATCTTGTCTGGGCACTTATCCCCATTAACATACTTGAGAACAGTAATGCCATTTTCCCATCGTGGTCCTTCAGTGACCTCCCCTATATTGATATAACTGGAACCATCCACCAGGCAGGCAGCAGCATTTAATGGACAGGAACCTAAATGCAATGCAAGACAGTAGAAGAGCATTTTGTTCTGTACCCTTATTACTTGTCCCAAGAATTTCAGATCAGCTTTTAAATATAGGAGACTTGCCCAGAAGGATGATTTAAGTGGCATAGCATTGGTTCCTCACCTAATCTGACTTAAGTATGTTTAGCATGAACCTCACTTCAAGAGGCTGATCTGTCTTTCCTAAAAACTTGGTCATGTTCATTTTAGTCACTAAGCATCCCCACCCCTGGCCAAAGACTATGTCCACCTCACAATAAGGCATACAGCAGAATGAGGGATCAACAACCTCTATAGCAACCTGATGGGCAGTCAGTAGCACACAGCAACAGCCTGAAAGCTTGCTCCTAAAATACCACCATCCTGCAAAGGATCTAAGACCCACCTTTGAGGAGTTAAACTCTCTCAAGCAGTCACACTTCTCCAAGAAGCACATTTCTTGTGCCCTCCTTCCAGGGACTCGAGACAAAAAAAGGAGACTTGGGGTAAAAGTACTAGAGAACAGTAAAGAAAGGCTGTGAATAAGCAGAGCTGGGAATACAAGTACTGCTGGGCACTTCTGCTAGTTTTAGTCAAAATGGCCTTCTCTGTTGCTTAAGAAACAGCTGTCCATCTCTTTTCTGCCTAATGACCTGCTGCTCCATCAGCAGTAGGAAGGTGGCAGAACTGAAAGCCATCATTACCAAATTCTTTCATATAAAATGCACTTTTTTGTCCTCAAAAAACAAAGCAAAACAAAAACCAGCTGCTGGAAATTTGTGTACCTTTTAAGCAAAAAAAAAAAATAGGATAACAGCAGCTTCTGCAGTTCAAGCCTCTGCTTGGGGAAAAGAAAAAGTAGCAATGAATGCACAGTACATAGAGCAGCACTACAAACACACAAGGATCCCTAGCTACTGCTTGTAGAGATTTCGCTTTCCCCCAGAGGCTCAAGCTGCAGAACCTGCCAGCAGCTCAACAAAAGCCTCTGCCACAGCACTTGGGCTCAGCTCCACTGCATTTCTAAAGCAGAGCTGAGCCCTGGATGCCAAGGCAGAGGCTTCTCCTGAATCAGCTGGGTGGTCCTTCAGCTGACCCTGCAGGTGCTACTGCCTAGGATAAGACCCTCAGCTGACCAGGCAGGCACTGCTGGCTGCCCACCCAGAACAGCTCAAGAGAAGAGGGGTCAAGCAATTTGCTCAGCCAGCAGCACTTATGGTATCCTGCTGGTGTCCGGCGGGGGGGGGGGGGGGAAGAGGAGAAGTTGCATATGAAGAGACAGGAGTTTTTGCTCCCCAACTACTGCAGCTTCCCTGGGAAAAGCACCCTAAAAAAAACAAACCACCAAAAAAGACCCCCACAAAAAACCCCAAACAAACTTACCAGCACTTAAGGAAAGGGGTTTTTCCTTCATTTTAAAAAAAAAAAAAAAAAAAAAAAACAAGATACAAATCTTATTCAAGACTCATATACAAGAAGATATGGTAGTACTTATGAGAAGATAGCCATTAAATGTTTTTTCTTCTTGCTCTTACCTGCACCTCCATGTGTCACTAAGGACTTGCAGACATTAATATAGTATCTCTGTGCAGAACCAAACATGGAAATAGCTTCCCAGTTCTCTCTATGCCGTGTCAGAGATGAAAGATCAAATGAGTTTCCTTCACTGTCTCTAGAAGAACACAGTTAAAGTATTGGTGAGTTGAAAGCACTTCTAAAGACTGAGCGTTATCATAAATTAATGATCCTGCACTCTTCAGGGAACAGAGTTGACCAAGACATTTCTCACAGGTAGCAACAATACCACATTTGCCCTGAAGGTCTCATAGGTCATGCTGACATTGTAAATTTAACATCCCCAGCTGCAGCTCCAAAAAAAAAAGCTAAAAAGACCACATCATCACATTGCACTGATAAGGGTAAGCCTGCCTCCTAAAACAATAAAAAATATGGCTAGACACATAGCTGAGCAGTGACAAATCCCTCGCATGCAAAGTGCATAATTTCAGATTTTCATCATAGTGTCAGGCAACTGAAGAATAAGTATCTGAGACCAAAGCAGCTCACAGCACCCAGAGTCACCATCTCCTAAGCAGAAACATCACCATTAGCATGTTACCACTCATTCAGACAAAAGCAAAGCCCAACCTACTTGTAGTAGCACTCTACAGATCTCAAGGGCAGGCAAGCATACGGGGTGTGCCATTCAAATAAGTAGGTGCAGTCTGGAGTTTCCTTCAGAAACATGGGCTGACAAAAAAAAAAAAAAAAAGTCAAAAAGTTTTTTTTCACATATCTAGCTGTAGAAGCAAACTGGTCCTCCTCCTAATTGGGCATTAGAGTGCCCAATTCATTACACACCTGAGCAGATGTATGTAGGAGATAGCCACATGCAACTAGCCTCCACACTGACTTCTCCCCCACCCAACCCTCCCAAGCTCTAGTCATTCTACATGCCTCAGGCAGGTGCAATGTTACCCTGGAAAGCAGTTAAAACCTTCGGTTCCTCTAGGGGATTGAAAGGTCAGGGCAGGGAAACAAGGGCATAATAGCCATCAATTCTTTAAAAACAGGGATCAGAGTGGATAAAGCCATTGCAGGTTGCCTGCCCAGGCCCACATGGGAGCAGAAAACAGCAAATCTAGAACCACCACTGCTTTGCAAGCAGGGGCTGGGTCAGGTGTAGGATATCTACCTTCATCCCACAGAAGGTAAAGGGGAGAAGGGGCAGAGACACAATACAGTGCCCCGTGCAAAAGCAAGCTGCTTACATTTGAGGGAAGATCATTTATTTAGGGGGAACAAGGGGGAAGCTGATAGAATTAATGTATTAAGCAGACCTGGTTTTTGAAAGACTGGGCTGTAGAAACATGATGTAGTAATACTTTTTCCTGGGCTAAGAAGCTTAAATCAAAGGCAAGTAGTTTCAAAGAAATCAGCAGTCCTACAAGGAAAACTCTGTGGGAAGGGAAGAGAGGCACGTGCATCTCTTTCAAAATGGTTTCAAGTGTATACTGGCCAATGCCCAAGGAAGGGTAAGACGGGTCAGGCTCACTATCGCAAAGATGTGCTCAGCTTCATCTGCTCACAGCTGAGAACTCTGGCCCTTTTCACCGTTTGCTGGCAGCATGTGCTTGTGAACACTAAATAGTCCCGACATTCTCTTATAATGGAGACCTTATATCCACGTAAAAAAATGCATCCATCTGCTTCAAAACAAGCATTCAACTTCCTTTAACAAAAGCTAGAGCTTGACTTTCAACATCTTGGCATAAGCGCTGCAATTTATTTAATCCAGAGATTTCTGATTTACAGCAACCAATATAGTCGTTCTACACAACTCAAGCTGAATAAGGAGTTCAAAGCTTTGTTCTATATAACTTTCAACTGGTCCAGCTCTAAATGTGTTACCTTAATCCACTCAAATGAAATGTGATTTTACAGTTATAAAGTGTTTAAAATTATGCTTTTCTAAACTTGTAAAATTCTGTGGAAATGTAACTCCTAACAAAGCCTTAAAAAATGCCTGCTCTTCTGTGAGGATAAACTATTGGCTACCCTGCCTTGTAGTCTACTCTTAAGAATTAAAATTATTCCCTCTTTCAGAGTGGGACCCTTCTTGTTATTCCTTCAAAACTAGTTGAAGACTTGGGATTGAACTATTGTACTCGCAGCATTCTCCAGGTGCTGCTGCTTTTCTTGGGTGTCTCAGGTCAGAGACTACTTGTTTTACCTTTCATTTAAGCTGCAGCAGCTGAAGGCATTGACAGATACCCATTGAAAGCACTCCAAACCTGAGTGCTACAGAGCCATGCACACACAAATTCCCTTCTACCTCCAACATGTTTCAAAATGGCAAAGGACATAGAGAAGCAGTGATCTCCCATCACAGGGATGGAGAGCAAGAATCCTAACACATCCCTTGGCCTTTCAAGTACGTCAGCTGTGAATGTCTGTATCTGTTATTTAGAGTGCTACAAAACAGCTTATCTGTCCCCTGTCCAATATACCAACCTAAAAACATTTATCCTGACAGTTGGAATGCAAAGAAAAAAGTTCTCGCACAGCATTTCTGGTCCTCCTTCAATTACACTTTCCAAACAACTATAGGTTCCCTCCAGTTTCTCTTATCCTCAACTCTTCCCTTGGTTAAAGTGAAACTTCTAAAGTTGTCAAATGATACTGCCGTTCCTGTACATACTAACCTCCAGAGCACTGTTGTCACAGTAGAACAATATAGTAGTTGATCGCTCATATATTTTGTGGCATCTCTCCCCACTGGTGTAGTTAATCTTTATTAGTCCATTTTCAAATGTCAGCTTTTCATTGTACAATCCTGTTATATTAGATGCAAAAGTTAATTTAAACTAAAAAAATTGAATTCAAGCAGTGAAAAAAGTTAATCTGCAAAAATCTAGCTGATATATCTAGCAATACAGTGACAGAGAGTAGGCCAGAGAAATTAGTTGGAAGACAGATTCCTGCTCTCACCGCCTCAGATAACAACAGCTAAGTTGCACGCTTTTGATACCCAGTTTGCCAGCAACACTACTTAGGTCTTTGGTTTTGAAGGGAAAAATCACCTATAGACTGCCAAACTATGCACCTCATGCTCTTCTGCAAAACCTTAATTATTAGAACATAGTAATTATTAGAAGGTAATATGTACACAGTCTTGCCCCCCCACCTTAATGAAAGTGTTGCTTTCGACTTCAATGCCATTTTAACCAAGTATAACCAACACCTCGCCCCTACCCCAACTCTCTCGAAGAACTGTCAATCTAAGAACAGCCCTCCCTCCAGTAAGGAACTGGGATGCGGTCCTCCAGGGACTAAAATTCAGTGCCACTTTACATATTAGCCAATGAAGACCTCTAAAGCAATGCAAGGAGACACCAGATTCAGTTCCTTACCCATTTACAGCAAGGCAGCATTCTTGAGCTGAACTACTGATTAACTGTAGTCCATATCCCACAGACAGCTCAGCAGCAGCACATATACCTTGGTTTGTCAGACTTTGTGGCATCATCATTAACAGAACCTGAAGGATAGCTAGTTAATATATTCTCACTTACATGCTAATTTGCAAAGTTTCATTAGTTTATACCAAGTTCTCCATCTAGAGAGGGGGGAAACTATAATGCCATGGAAATTTGCACTTGTGGTTTTTAACAACAAATCTTTTCTCCTAAACTCAAGAATTACTATACCTGCTATTTTTCTAGAAGTTGAGTTTGTCTTCTTTACTTGGCATGAGGATACTGTATGATCCACTGACTTGCATGGTTCTGCTATTGTGCCACAGACTCTGAAATAGTAGTCATATTCATCTGTGCTCACTTTCATATCCTTCACAGAAAGAGGTTTCAGATTGTATACATAACCATATCTTGGATCTGTCACCTGACATTTATCACCTTGAAAACAAGCAGAAAGATAGGTCAGCTACAAATAAACTCAGTACAGCTATATACAGGTGAGACAGGATAAGTACTTAGATTTAAAAACACACAACCACCACCCAGAGTAAAATCACCACAAAGAATGATGGTTATTAGGCAATATTCTGAATTGAAATTACATGCAAGAACTCCAGAGTACTTACTTGTATCACTGTAAGACAATCAGTCAAAGAAATTCATCTTTGCTGATAGCTTAAATAGACACTCAATAGTTTTGTCCTTCTGGAGCTTTTTTTTTTTTTTTTTTTTTTAAAGAAAAACAGAGCTGTAGTCATGTCTTTGATTACTTGTCAAACCACAGCTCATGACACATCCTTTTAAAGCAGTATTCAAGTAGACCAATGTAGCAAGCAGCAGAACAAGGTAGCAAGCAGAGTTTTAAAAACTTCCAGAAAATAAATGAGAGGCAGAAGGAAGTGCTTTGTTTTCATCATGGCTAGAGGCTGGCAGTCAAATACTACAGTGTTCCCTGGTTGACTCATCACCAAGAACTGATTAATCTTTAAGGTGTAAACACTGAAATTTTGAAGTAACAAAGAAGGGGAGTAGAGTGTGTGCACGCTGGGGAAGGGGGTGACAATCATTCCTCATTGACCTAGTAACAGGTTCCTAAATCTTCCTCTAAGCCTCTGGTGCCAAGCAGGATACTGGATAAAACAAACAAAACAACCCCCCCCCCCCCCCCCGACCAAAAATTAATGGTTAATGTGTTTAACCTAGCAATTCCCATATTTGATATACCTTCTGTGCTCTAAACAGAAGGAGCTAGAGCTACTAAAGCTGATGTGGATTAAAAAAATTAAAAGGTCCAGCTCCTCAACAGGAGCAACTCTTTTAGCTTTGATAGGTAGAATTATGTTGACTTGCAGACTTTGCAATTTAAAAATTAAAAATGTATAGAATTATAGTGGCAGAGTCTGTGCAGGAATTTTAGTGAGGCTGAACTTAACATCGAATCTTGAGATAAGCAGGTACCAATATTTACTAGCAAAGGTAGTAGTTTTACTAGACAGATTAGAACACTGAACCACAGTAAAACAAGCTGAGTATTAATTTTATTCTATCCTCACTGCAACTACTACAAGCAAGTTGTTTTTTTCCCTAGGATTCAATAAACCAAACCATTTAGTAAAAACTTGCACTGAAGGGTGATCTCGGTTATGGAATCAACAAACAAGTGAATGTAATGCAGAAAAATCTGATGTTCAAACAGCTCCTCCCCCTCCCCAACCCCACATCCCAGTTCTTGCCTTCTGCTCTGTGAAGGGGACAGGCAGCCAGAGTTCTCCAGATAAATACAAATTCACATCCGTCCTCTTCCTCAAATACTGGCGATCCCTACAAAAACAAAAAACGGGAGGGACCAGGGAGTTTTTGACCAATTTGAAAAAGATACTCAGGGTCACTTTTTGGTTAAACAGAAGGTGAGGATGGCTTAATTTTTAAAACCATTCTTAAATCCTTTGTCTAACTCTGCATTCCTGAACTCCAATTCTGAAAGAGCAGGCACACACCTACATGTCAGTAAGTTTATCTTTTATGAATCTAGTTCAAAGGCAAGAAACCCATTAACATTATGAGTTCAGTTGTGCACAAAGGATAATTTAAAAAGTGATTTTTAACCTCCTTTCTCCCCTGATCCAACTGGTTTCTTTGTTCCAGGACTTGAGGCACCCTCCCCCCTCAAGAGACTCAAGGCACCCCAGAAAATGCCAACTCCTAGTTTTCACTCTATTTGCCTACCAAAAAGAAGAACAATATGTCTGCTGTAAAGAGCTCAGAAAGACCATATCTAAGGATCTGTATTTGAAATCTCTGGGCTTAATCTTGTGACTCTGTGTACGCCTAACAATACTAACACTGTATGGCACGCACTTCATAGCATCCCTGAAAGGATCTCAAGGAACCCCAAGGTGTTGTGGCACCCTACTTGAGAATCAGTGTTCTAGGGTATAGAAGACCTAATCCACACCCTTCCCTTCCCCCAACTTGTCCAGAAGAATTTAAGTCAAGTACCTATGATTGATCTATTACAGGGTTTCAATTTCATTAGTCTTTGGCGCAGAAACTTACTATGGTTTGGTCGCACTGAAAGATGATCCGCGTAGAATACCGCTGCTTATCTTTGCATATGTCACCATTTAAGTAAATAATACTAAGAGATTCACCAGTGGTAACCTGAGGACTTATCTGAATAATACCAAGGTTCTGGCTTCTATCAGCATACTTTACACAGGAGCCTACTGCTCCCCCTGCAGGAACAGAAGACATGCTGAATGTGCAGTACTGTTACCAAAACAACTCCACCTGTGCAATCATTAAAAACATTGTAGAGAAGTCAATCAAAAAGTACAGTAGCTTCAACAATATAAAGCACCATAAGACAGGGAACTGATCTGATGATCTAGTGGTCTTTCCCCATACACCTAAGCCCTGAAGCAACAGAAACCGTAAGAAAAAATCTTCAGAGTTCGGTCAAAATCCTCGAGCTATTTGTAAGCGACTGTTTTTCTTCTATGTTACGGCAAACAAAACCAGTGCATTCTGCTTTTGCAAAATTGAAACAAGGAATGACAGATAACGATTCTGTCTCATTCAGGGCTTCAGTATTTACTAGAGAGTTTAAACTCTAATTATTCTTATTAAACCCTAGGGCAAGTCAGCATCCAGGACTGCCCATTCAGAGGCACTCATCTGCTGAAAACCCTGGCAGGCTTCTCAGGATGCTGAAGAATCCTGCTTAAGTTAACCCTAATGAAAGAAGGCTGCTCTAATTCACAAGGTATGTTTGTAGCACTTTCCTACAGCTTATCTAGACCTACATAGAACATTAATGTGGGGTCAGATTTTAAGATGCAATTCTAAAGAGACTCCATGAAATGCTCAATGCCACAGAATTGTCACAAGGCAGCTCCTACTCCAGCAACAAGGTAGGAAACGGTGGGTGTCTCACTATCAGCTTACCAGGACATCCAGGCCCATAAGGTAAAGGCTTGCAAACATTCAAATAGAACGTTCTTGTTTTTGCATTTTTTGAAGTATCTACAGCAACCCAAGGCTCATGTTCCTTGCTCAAGTCACTTAGATCATACTCATTGCCAGCAAGATCTGAAAAAAAATGGGATATACAGTTGAGAGGATAGAAGTATTACTTTAGCACCTCATTACATCAATTTTGTGGTTGGCATAGCTTCTAAATGTACTTTTCTGGAGTAGGCTGAAGAACAGCATGTTTACAGGTGATAGCTAACAAGTCTGGTATATTCAAAATCTGATACGATCCACTGGCAAATTCTAGTTAGTTCCTAACTTTCTTCTAGAATAGCAGTCACCAAGTGGTCAATCCAGGAGCCTCCTGCAGTCGGTCCTGGGCTGGGGGTGCTGACTGTGTGTGTGCATGCACGCACGCCCCGCCCCCACCCCCACAGGTCAGTCAGTGGGAGGAGGGAAGGGGCAGGGGTCAGATCGAGGTCCCCTTGGTCAGGGACAGAGCATGGCAGAGGCAGGTGCAGCCCGTAAAGTGAGTGGGGCCCTGGCCAGGGGAGCGGTGTGAGGATCAAGCCAGGGCGGCTTGTCTGGGGCGGAGGGCAGGGGAAACAGACTCCCGCCACCGTGTGCACCCTGGTGGAGGCCCCAGGGGGGCATGTGCCCCCCCTCTCCCCCAACTGTGTGCAGCAGAGGCAGCTGCTCCTGCGGGCTGGGCTTTGCACCCCAAGCCCCACTGCAGCTGGCCCACGAGCAGCCCGACACCATGTGCATCCCGCCGCCTGGGCTGAACCTTGTCCCCTGCCCACACATGGCATTGGGCTGCTCCTGTGCAGGAGCACTGCCTTTGCAGCCGCCTCTCCTGCACACAGATTGGAAGGGGGTGCATCTCCCCAAACACAAGGCAGCTGCAGCAGCAGCTGTGAAGTAGAAAGTGGGGCTGGAGCAGGGGCAGGCGCTGCACAGCCAGCACGGGGAGGGATGGAGCCACAAGCAGCATATCCGGGGGAGTGCAGGCACACAGCCCAGGAGGGCATGGGGAACATATGCCCCCGGATCT